ATCAATGTATATATATCCTGTAGCGTTTGTTACCATATTTCTTATAAACATTATCACAACTCAGCAATCTGGTACAGCTTCGTATATAATAGGTACCAAGCCTCACTTGCTATATGGTAGACAAATCAATACCCTGTTGTATAAATTCAGAATAAGTAAGCAGGTATCTGTTATATTATATTTTTTGTCGAGACATTTCTCGTAATAAACATTACCATTGTTATTCATTGTGTTCAAGAAAATGGCTGCAGTTACAAGTGCCAAGACCAGTTAAATTTAGTAATAATTCGAAGTCTTCTCGAAATATAAAATCCAAATTATTAGATAGGATTAGTAAGGTGATTCGGTACTTGGTAAATCCTTCGCTATCAAAATATGCCTATTATTGTTGAAGAGTTATGACATCAGTAGAGAATTCTAAATGATAAAAGTAATTTTCAAAGTAAGCCCATAAATAAATCGTATATTCTATTGACAACTGCATCAACAGAGGTAGATGATATAGGGTATGAATTTGAACACTTGATAAGGAGCTAGTGACTCCATTTGAGCATTTCAGCCATCTGATGTTGAAGAATCCGATTCAACTGATTACCCAATCTCGACATCGTAAATCACTACTGTTGCATTCTTCCTTACGAAGTACACCTTGACCACTGGATTTCACTTGGCTTAACAGTTGTAAAGAAATATATTCCAAAAAACGTCAAAGCCAAATGTACAGAAGTAGAAATTACCGGAGACTTCTAGCACCTCGTAGACCTGTTCACCAGCCCTAATCGGTAAAAAAAATAGACTGACCAACGTATTCTGACTTATCTCTAAGTGAGAATTTAGTCGTTAGGAGTTCATCCTTCTACTAGCATTATAGCTAAACATGGACTTACACACAGATACTGATATGTGGTAAAGTAGGTAGGCCTGCATTAGTCAGACGAAAGTTATATAAGCGAAATAAGTGTTTGGTTGATATCCTTGAACAAATTGCGGGACTGACGCATATGTCCCAGGTATATAATGTAACTGTGTTTTATTGCATAGTATTCTAACCTACCTCTTTTGTGAGCCATCCAAATATGATGGGTCATTCTCGTAAGTTGTTCTGATTTTTGTTCATTCTCATGTAAATTCATTAATCACTTATCAAGTGATAAATTCTCGTCCCAACAGCTATACTAAGCTTGGGAGGTCTTTGTGTAATGGTAAACTTTTCTCTACAATCCCTTTGTAAATATGATCATATTTATGAGTTCACTTTTTTCTATTAAATATCAATCCTAGTTAAAATACAAATTGAGGAATACAAGTATCCCAATACCATTGTTCCAGGGAATCGATGGGTCCTGCGAGTGGATAGCTGTCGATATGAGTAAGCGAAACCAAACTGAATACATTTTCGTATTTCTGATGAGCCTCAGTTAGTCAGTCAGTAACAACGTAGAACTTCGTACGTACGTACATCAGTTCGAGTTGCCACACCACCTTAGCACAGAGATGCAGTTGTCGATTCAAATCCCGTAGTGGTAGAGGTAGCAAGAGTATAAGCAGTAATTGGGAAGATTAGGGTTTGGAGGTGTCATTTAAAGAGTATAATCCAGTGAAATAAATTTGGAAAGAGGAAAAAAGGGACATGAGCCTACAAAAATTTAAGGGATCAATCCACTAATACGTAATTTATTCTACATCTAGAATAGTTAAAATATATTATATGATCAGTAAATAGTTTAACCAGTTCAAATACTGAATAATAGTGAGTTCTATTAGTATTATGACGATCTGTTATAAGCAACGTAGCACCTGAAGTAATTCAGCGTTATAGGCAAAGATGGATGATGTCTAGCAGTGAAATCCAGGACGCGTTTCGTCCTACCTGGGATTCGTCAACTGGATGTACCTGCATCCCAGAGTTGATGTTCACTCGCTTCAAATGCCATCGCACTATTCTCTTAGCTACTAAGTCCAAATAGCCACTAGCTTGTGCAGTGGGGTGAAATTTTAATTCATTTTTGTATTGATCGTTTAAATCTTCCTATTGATGTTTAGAACTGCAATTGATCAGTCTCCTATTGGCATATGTGCGGATTGGCTCGATATTGCCTTAAATCTCTCTGTTTATAATGCTTGTCATTTAATGCAATATCAAGGTAATCCTCACAGGATGCACATATACCAACAGGAGACTGATCAGTTGCAGTCCTAAACATCAATAGGAAGATTCAAACAACCAATACAAAAATGAATTAATTCTGCACTAGTTTGAATTGTCATATTTCATGTCAGTAGATACCGATGGGAAATCACAAAGGTAGAAATTAAAGGAGTCAAAATACTATCATCCAGTATAGTTTGGGAAAAATAAGTCCCAAGAATGATAAGTACGAGGTAATGTTGAAGCTTAAGATTTGAAAGACGACGATTAAGAATGAGTACATTTACGCCAGTGTGACCTATCTCAAGCTATAACACACCTATCACGATTATAATTAGATAATTTTGCAAAAAAATATAGTTCGTAGACTTTTTGCGCACAAACTCGCACTCTTTGTTTTAAAGTATTTTTTCATTGTATAACAGTAGATGATGTACACATGTAGTGGATTGTAATAATTAATGATAGTTTTGAATCTAACCAACGTGAAGATTAGTGACTAAAAAGGTACACCAAAACTATCCAACTCCATCTTCTCAAGAACACAAAATGCCTTTTTTGTCATGACCGACGAGATATTAAAATAAATAGTATTCAAATATGTATGTGGTGAGATTCTCTTTAAATTAATCCAATTTATTGGTAAGATTATTTAGACATGTACCGTCATCAGTAGCTACTTGAATATTTAAATATCATGTGTAAGTCGTACTCTTTTGGAGTGTACAGTTGCACTCATCCTCCGTCATGGTCTTAGTTATTCTCAATCTGTTTAGTTGTCAGAAGTAGTCAGTAGAAAACCATAGACCTGGGTTCCATGCTAGTTGGCGCTCGTCATCGGGACATACTTGTAATTTTAGGAGGACTGGTGCTCATTGTGGGATTTAAACCCGTGTCACTTAATTCCCTAGTCTGAGATGTTACTATTGAGAAATGTACAATTGATTAACCACTGATTAGTAATATACATTTGTTTAGTCCTTTAATGTTGATCGAATTCTGTCGATAAAGTTGTAATGTGGTCACTAGTCTAGTTGACCCGACATTGCATACACTATGATCTGATGTTAGGTGATTTTAGGAAGTTATTCCCGAATTTCCATCTTTCAGATGCGTTTGCTCCTTTCGAACCGTATTATTCACGCTTATATATTCACTGTTCTAAATACTATTTACTATCCTACGCTTCTCATCTTGCTGATTACTTTGTCCTCTATGTTGACTTCGTAGGATGTGACAACTTGGACCGATGCACCCCCTGCATCAATAATGACTGAATCTAAGGAAATCCCATAATTAGTGTAATTGCATTCCAGCCCCTGGAAATAGAACACCTTACCTGACAGATTCCTATCGCCGGCGATGAGGCCGTAAATATACGAGGCTAGCACAACTAAAAGTACCAAAGGGTCGTGCATGACCGGCCTCAGGCGGTTGTCCTCTAAGCGCTACAACCACGCTTCTGGGTCGTCGCGACCACTTCTAACCCAGCAGCTTTTTCAGGTTCCTAAAGAAGCACCCTTTTTTGGCGGGGCAATCGGAAAATGACAACTACTCTAACAGCACTGGAGATCACTTAATAATTCGTGTCTTTGTAAAGTTAGTGATGATAACTGCAAATTAACCTTTTATCTTTGTGTGTCTTCTTTTCAGGCACCATTTTTCTTCATTTGTTTCTACCTTCTACAAGATTAAAGTACGATTTAGAATCACTCTGGTGCGCTGGTCCACAATATGATGACCAACTTTTTCAGAAAAACACAGCAGAATTACCGAATAGAAACTTTAATTGGGAACAATTATTATCGGAAATTCAACAGGCCAAGCAATGTTGACCGAAATTGAGAGGAAAACTTTACAAATATACGTATATATCCACTTTTGATCATATTTCAAATTAGGCGCAGACTATATCTGTATTCGATGAAGTTTCTAGCGAACTTTTATTTTATTAATTACTATCGATATCTCGTCAGAGTATTTAATTTTTCTTTTCGGATTAAAGACCCAGTATCCTTGTGATGTAATCAATAGGTTGTCTTCCATAAAAACTACTATTTCCTTCATTCAATTTGAGTGAGGAAGATAGTGACAAGGTTTATTTTAATGTCACAATGAAAATCCGTTGGGATTTTTTTTCTAAGAAATTGCTTCGTTAATACTACTAACTGTAAACTCTATTTCTGATCAGTAAGGAATGACTAATGCACATCGAGCACTTGGATCAATTAAGGTAATCAAAACTTATCCACAGACCAGTCACTGGTGAAATCGTAGGCGGAATTGATTCAGGGATTTTAGTTGTTCACTGACAAATTCGGCTAGTGTAACGTTACCTATAGTTGAGACATTGCAGGTGAGGATAGCTAAACTGCATATCAATTAAAATATGGAGGGCATAACATGGAGCTTGGCTTTAGTATAATGAAGATTGTTAGCTTGGGCTGGATATGATGGGTACAGTGTTCAAAGTAAGTCGCATACATTCACAAAATTTATTTACTTATTTATTTTAACACATAGATATTGGTACAAGGCGGCACCAAATACATGTGCGCCACACAAATCTCATTCGATATGTGTGAGGGCTGTGATACTGCCCAGGTGCCCAAACCGAAGCAGTCGGTTTTCTTAGGGGGCCACACCCCGAGCCTTCGACTTGAAGGTTTGATCCACAAGGCAGTGAAGCATCGTAAGGAGATTCAGTCCCATGGAAGACGGTGACCAACAATCGGTTCATACTCCATTTGTCCCCGCAGGATACTGGAGTCCATGTGCACCATTGGCTTGGGATCCGGCTATAGCGCCGGACATTCGCTTTTCGTAAACAACACCCCCGCCACGAGAAGGCAGTGAGTAGGACTTCCCTGGCAGATGCTATATACGCGTGGCCATGTGAGATCATTTCGAGAGGGAGAGCGGACTTCCCCCACTCTCGGCTGTACCAGGGCATTTGGGGGCTCACAAAATTTATATCTCAGGGTACAATAATTTAGAGTAAATTTGTACTGATGGACATCTCCTATTAACTAATCAAGTAACACTAAACCACACAATTATTAATTGCTGATTTAACCTAGTTTTCAAAGTGTAACCTCATTTATCTGACGTCAAACAGGTAGTGTAGATCGACTTCAAACGACAATGTCTTAAGGTTAACATCAGGAACATGGATTATGTTACACTATGTTTGCTCGTTCGAATATCGGTTTAGTTAGGACTACTAATCAATAAGCCATGACTATGCTTTGTCTGTGAGGATTTTTTCACACAAATTGTATTACTATTCTTGGTGAGGTTCCGTTCTGTGAACTGATGATGTATCTAAAAACAATAGAAGCTTCATAATCAAAACACCGAGTACAGAGGATGCAACTTCACCAAAATCATTTAACCGAGCTACAAATATTTCCCACCATCTCGTTATTAATTTTCTTGAACAGCTAAGTGTGTAGTATAACACATAAATTTATACAAGGTTATTAAAATGTATTGTGGTTTGAGTACAGTTATTCATGTGTGAGAATTTGAAAAATTAACAAGTAATATTATTTATTTACAACTATTATACAAAATTCACAATGTAAATAACTCGAAATACAAAAATATTAATATTATACACCTTAGTGTTTATTTCTCATCTACTAAAAATCATATCTTAAGTAATTCTCTATTCCATTTGAATCCAATTATTTCAGAGGTTGTTTTTTTCTTGAAAAAATATGGACGATAGCATGTATCATCATGTTGATACTAATCAAAACGATGTAAACTTTTGTATATGGTTATACATTGTTTCCGCTCTCTGATGATATTCAAAAGAAATTGTTGAATTGTATTATATTCTTACCAATGTAGCGTAAAAACAAAAATCTGGATTTAATGCTTATGAATGTGTTATTGTTGTCAATGTAATATCAAGTCATGATCACCTCTTACCACTGGGAGTTAATGGGGATAACATAAAGTCCATGGATAACTATCCAAATGGTTGTATTTTAGTTTTACAAATAAACTTTTTGATAGCATTCTGAAAAAAAATAAATATATGTTAGTAATAGGAGGCTTATGGATATTGTTTAGTGTGAAGAATGATTTTAGCTAGATACAACAACTGAAAAACAGAGGATACTGAACAGCTGTCTCATTTTAGTGGATAATGTTGGGAAGACAGTCATCCTTATTGTTCTCTCCCCTTTGGCTTTCGATGGTCGTCCAGATTAAGTCCATGTATGATGTAAATTACGGGTGAAAATGGTTCTAAGGATGAAATTAAGATCAGTTTAAGTGAGATGTGTTGTATTTACACAACTATGGAGTCATCTAAAGCGGTAAAGAGCACTTGAACCAGACACCAATAAATTGCTGGTCTGATACTTTACAAGCTGAAACATACGAAAAGACCAACTGTTAGACATATTGCCATTGTATTTTAACCGTAAGTAACTAGAATTAGAAGCTTCACTGTCTGGTAATTTGATACAACCTCACGGACTGATTTCATTTCAGTCCCTCAAACTGTACACAGTGGAGGTCTGACACTGTTTATGACTGATTGAGAAGCAATGGTTTGTTGACATCAAAGCAATAAGGATCTAACTAATAATTTGTTTGTTTGGAACTTGCATCTACTTCAATTTGAGCAGCTGAGTATCATTAGCTTTAACAGATAGCGTCTTGAAGCCAAGTATATAAACCTAAACTTAGTAAATGTCCTACGTAATGATTGATTTGTTCACAAATTAATTTTGATATGACGTACACTTGAAGAATATTAGTCAACAAATACGTATTTTTCCATAAATAACCATTACTAGTATCCGTATAACCAAGCAGAACAAGTTAGCAAGCGGTACCACATATGTTTGGAAAGTATCTGGAAATTGTCTCTGTGACATTTCATTTTTTGCAAGATATTTGGAATGATGCAACTCTACAGGTAGGGATCACATGCGGATCTGTGGCACAAATACTACATTTTCAACCAGTGAATCATAAGTCCGAATACTGTTTCAACTACTTCGAGGTTCAAACAGTTGTGTAACACGACAATACCTCGTAGAATAATTATGATTGTACACATTAAATTCTACTTATTTATTGCGACTCTTTGACATTCACTTTATTAGGTACATCAAGTGTCAACTAGTCTTGAAGGAATACAAACAGTGGTTCTAATCTTGTATTATACATTCGAAAACATAAATCAAACCAAATCTCTTCAATGTTTGGATTTATCAGGATGATGTTCTAACAGCCTTACTCAGAGCATACACATTCACAAACCTATTTTTGTTTTAATAGATTAAACTGAGTTAACAATTTACATATGCATTTTATTGGGAGATTTAGTTTATATAAAGTAAATCGTTATACCACATAACAATTCACTGGTTTGATCCGCTGACTAGTATGTTCAAAATGCAGTATTCCCAGTCACTTGGTATTTCAATTTCTGTCTTTATACCGTTGGTAGTTGTTGAATTGACGGTGTTTTAATTGAATGGTTATATAGAGTTACTCAGAATGATGACATTTAACCAAGTTATAAGTCTCATTCAATAATGTCTACATGATAGAAATTAATTGAAAAACCTGCAAGCCCGTCCCTAAGAATTTAGAGGCGGAATTATTTTTAGTCTCCAGTCAAGTTATTTAATTCGTTCATTTTTGAAGAGTTAGTCGCTACCATCAATGAAAGTGATAAATTTCTATAATCACATAACATTAGATGATCGAATAAAAAAACCTTTGGTTATATGATGTAACTAATAAAACTTTTCCCAGCGAACAACCACTACAATACCCGCCAATTGGTGTAGTTGGATTTCATTTATTCTCATCGTGGTCAATGAAGTGCTTGGTCAAAAATATGTACTATTTCTAATATTTAGCTAAGTACTAACCTATATAAAGTTTTATTTTATTAGCAAACCAAAAATAAACCATAGTAATAATGAAATTATAAAATGGACTTAAAACAGACGAATATATAGATACATTGCGTTGAGGTAACACTAGTTTAGCTTACCATCATTCTAACATCTACCATACTTTGTGTAGTACACCAACGTCTACATGCAGACGGTTGCATTCGAAGTAAATGGTCGGCACCTCCAATAACTAATAAATCAAAAGTTGGTGAGATCGAATTCAATTCATTATTATCATCATGAACAACAGTAGTAGTATTAGTAGCAGTGATGCTAGATGATCCATTGATTTTGTGTCGAAATTGGTTAGTATAATTCATATGAATTAAATTATCATTGTCATTATTATCGATTCGAGAAGTTAGTGGACGTTGTCTTTGTCTAGCATTGAATAATCTCTTTCGAAATTCAACTGCTTCTTTATAACCACCAAGTCGACTTCTAGCGCCTATAATAAATAATATTGGTAAAGCTGGTATCGATAGGAGTGGATCATTCAATTCACCTCGTTTACCTCTTAAACCAATTAATGGTAAACCAACACAAATAATTCCATTTATACTTGTTCGATTAGTATAATTATTTTCTGAACGAGAATTATTCAACGAGAGTATATGTATAACAGATAATAACATAAGTAACGAACCAACACCGAAGCTAACTAGATAAATAGATTCATTCTTGTATTCATCAAGCTGTAAAAATAAAAGAAAGCAACACTTAACAATAAAAATCCATTAGAAGGGATCTTGTGGAGATTAGTTTAATCTATAAGTTGTATTTGATACAGATTGATTTTTCATAGTATGAAACTTCCTAACACTGCACATCAATGAGCCTGCCATAGATCAGAACCAGAGCCTTTCGGGTTGTCATGACTGTAAGGTTAGTCGGTATACCAAGAGAAGACCCGTTAATGAGAAGCCTGAAATATTTCTCTATCCTAAATATACTATTCCAGTTATCTCATAATATTCTAAGCTTTGACTGGCAGGTTAACCTTGAGTTGAGACAGAATAATTTTAACTCTTCGCCAAAAATGTATACCTTTCTTCTGACTCAGTCTTCCGTCCGATAATGGAATACATCATGGAGTTGTGGAGTATTATATCTTATGTGCATCAACTCGTACAATAACATGGACTAATTTCCTCCTCCCACAACAACATGAATATGAACTTACAGTCTAAGCATTGCTACGCCAAAAGTGGAAGGGAACAGAAGGAGATGGTGAGTGGATAATTGGTAATAATGAGGGAGTAGTAAGACGCATAACATTAGTTAACATATCTATTGGAAGCTTACAATCAGTAAAGGCAAATACAATAATACAGTTGTTTAATAAGTGAACAATAAAAATACAAACAGTAACCCGAAAATTAGTCCCCAAAGTTATACTTTCTTTACTATTTGTTCCGCTATAACACAGGTCATGCAGTAAACCACCGGGTCGACATCTAATATAACAGTTTTAACACCAATGAATTCTCAGTAGCTGTGCTACATTACAAACTGATTACAGTTAGGATTGCAATATTGGATACTGAATTGGAGATCCTAATGGCTTAACGTTCCCTGCAAAGCCTGAAGGTCTTGAGATCGATCCCTGGCAACATAGCTGGTGTTTACTATTCAGGAATACAATACTAAGACGAAGCAGTTGCTTATTGCTCCCTCGTTTCCCAAACTGCCTCAACTGAGATCAATCCGTGGCAAAGACGACCCTATGGAAGAACTATTAACAAGTTAACATCATTTTTGGAGAGGAAGCACGGGTATGGCTTCTTAGGAGGGAAAAATATAATCGAAGTTGAAGAATCTTAACAATCAGATTAGAGAAAATAACTTATTTGTTCGTCTATTAATTTTGAGCGATCTCTTTGTTTTGTTCATATAAAATATTTCCAGTCACAATGAAATATTCTTTTGGAGAAAGACAATGTTTACTGTACAAAATGCTTTATTGTAGAGATACAAATTTTGTTTACCATGACATGTTTACATCATTTTACCAAGTTTAAATGTATTGTTTGATGTTGTTTAACAATCCTAGTATTGCACTGCCTATAATAATTTGTTTGTTTGTTGATTAGAAATTTGTACGATATGAACATTTTTGTTTTATCGGCAGTTGTTAAGGCAAGACACTAAAAAGTTACGATTTGTGGAAGGCTTTATCCTCGAAAGTTCTTAAAGTAGAAATAGGCAAGACTATATTCTACCGATGAATTTAAAAGAACCAATCGGATATAAGACATTGTTTACCGGATTTTGTGCAACATTGAAAACGTGGGGGATAACAAAGAATAGGATAAGTGTAACTTATACGTTTATCGATGTTCAGTATGTGTCCGTTATCATGCATTTCCGGTTATTTTTCCGTACATCTACTGGTGAATGACTTAAAATTGTCAAAAAAAACCAAACAAATTTCATGCGAACACATTGTGAATTTATCATGGTGCGTAAGCCAAATTAAAAAGAAATACGCGCCTTTGACATAGACTGCACCTGAACGTAAATGATGCTTTTTAAGTAATAATCAAGTGTTTTTATGGTCAAAAAGTATTCTCAAACTCCAAATATATTGTATCATTAACACCTGATTCTATAACTTCCAACCTTAACAATTGTAAACTTGACTACTGAATCTGGTCGGACTCCCAATTTTTAAACTTAACTTTTATTCTTTCACTTACAATGTTGAAACTCTTTATCCATCTTAATTTGATTAATTTTTATTAGAAACTGTTTCGTAACTAAATACTATTTCCTAATTGATAAGCCTTCAAAGCTGTCGTTATAATATAGTTGTAGTCTAACCATAAAAGTAAATTCAGTAGATTGATAGAAGAATATCTTTGTAAATAAATAATAGGTGCTTTAACAAATAGCCGCCTACTTCAGAAGAGATCTTGTTCAAGTAAGTCGATAAAAAAGTGTGTCATACAAAAATATACACACTGTGTGAGTAAAAAATGTGTGAATATTCTCACTTACCAAATTAATAACACGTCGGACAAATAATCGTAATCGAAGTCTCATACTATCACATATTTGTTCTTCATGATCTTCTAAATTAATTTGTCCAATTTCACCGAGTAAACTGATTAATTTTTGTAATCGTTTACTGTCACGAGATCCCGGAAAAGTCATACATGCTAGAACTATTCCATCGCCAATTGTTGAACGATTTAAAGATATCTGAGTAGGTATATTCTTTGTAATGATGGATCGTGAAGAAGACTGCATCTTTGGTAAATATTGCAGAAAAATCGAAACTATTAAGATGATGATAATGATGAGAAAAAAAGACTTCAGCCGATCAGAAAGATGTCAATTTTAAATTCGCGAAGTTAAATGACTTAATTATTATGATTAGACCATTTCTTTATGATGACTAGAAATAAAAGGATCATTTATTGATGTATAGTAATCACTAATCTAGAATTATTCATTTATGAATTAAGGAACAACGATTAATTATACTATTTTGTGTATAAATAATAGCTTCAATTACCTAATAAATAAACCAATTCTTTATTTATTTAAAAATAAATATTAGTACAAAGGGGCAATAAATATGTGCGCCATGCAAACCAGTGAATTCGTTTGAACTGATATACTTTCCGGGTGCCCAGATACAAATAGTTTCCTTAAGGGGCTACTCCCCAAGCCTTTGACCTAGAGGTCGGATTCACAAGGCAACGCTAGGAGATGCGGTCTCACGATAGTCGGTGACCAACAATAGGTTAGTACGCCATTTTTCCATTCAGGATCCTGGAGTCCATGTGCACCATTAGTTTGGAATCAGGGTTTCCTAACTCCCCTTGGTGGATCCTCTGTATCCGTCAACTCGGTCCAAGCGTCGAACATTCGCTTTTCATCCTCTCAATTTCGTAAACAACGACCTCACTGAAGAAAGACATTGAGTAGGACTTACCTGGTAGTGGATGTATACGCGTGGTCATGCGAGAGCATTTCTAGAAGAAGAACAGACTCTCTCCACTCTCGACCATACCACAGCATATAAAGGCTGTGTCGGTAGCCGCAGAGTAACCGCTATAAGTGGTTGAAGGCTTTGGGTGACATGTTTCAGGATCGATCTCAATGCCTCAGAAACACTCACTCTTTGTTTTATCCTAGGTCTTGGGTTCCAGTATTCCTTTCATATATGCATTTTTATTCCTTTTCTCCAATTCCTAGCATTTCTTAATATCATTGTTATTTTAGTTATTTGTAGTCCTTTGGTACTCTTGCTGTTGATTTTGTCTCGTACTAGTTTATTATGGCAATTTAAACCAATGCATATTTGTGTTTTGCTTTATGTTGATTACAACTGAGTGACATTCTAAAGTGTATTTTGTAGGTAGAGTAAACAAAATATTAGACTCTTCCAGTTGTTTCTGTTTTTAACCATAAAGTCAATTTGATTGAATAAATTAAAAAACTTAAAGTTCAACAAGTAGTTCATTAAACTGCGAAGAAATTATTTACCAACTTTAACGCATTTCGAGTTACACGGGAATCACTGAAATGAACTTGACTTAAGAACTGTTGAGTAATGAGTGGTAGGATAGAGATATTCTATGTGCTTTATAGTTTATTTCGTAAGGCTTTGGTGATAACTTTGCCGCTGATAAATTTCTCAATTCAAAAGATTTGCTACTATTTATGTGAAATTAAAAGCATCAGCAGTTCTTACATAACTCTACTCCAACCCTTTTATTTAATTGTAAGCAGTCAAAATACAAAGTGTGAAGTTCGTACTAAGGTTGTAAAAGGCGAGAGATTTATTCGCAAATGAGGAGACACCAGAGCCCCCAAATGCCCTGGTACGGCCGAGAGTGGGGGGAGTCAACTCTCCCTCTCGCAATGCACTCACATTGCCACGTGCACACAACCACTATCAGGGAATTCCTACTCACTGCTTTCCTGTGGTGTGGGTGTTGTTTACGAAGTTGGTCGTATGAACGTGGCCATATGAGAGCATCACTAGAGAGAAAGTGAATCACAATAATATGATGAGCAATTTTATTAGATCTAATTTTCACTCTACTAATCACTTTATTAAATATCAACAGGTCAATAAAATGCGATTGTAATGTCAGAATAGAATGAATAAAATATTTAATCAACAACCAGTTTAACCGACCGTAATAACACAAATACAAATTAGTGGAGTGCACTTCATATCAAAAACTTTTTACCAAGTCATATAATGTCACAAATTTTAATTTATGCTCGTTGCGATATCCAAGTGAACAGTTGATATTCAATGCTTTCAGCTATCAACCCACCGAAAAGTATAGATGAGCATTGGCTGCACTTGCATGACGCCATGAAAATGGCGAGTAAAGTCGCTATCCTCTTCACGAAACGTCCCACTTAAAAGCACTGGATTTCTACAACTCCTTGAAGCACGTCGGCCTACTCTGACCAACCGCACGTTTGACCATGGACTGGTTTTCTTTCTGGCCGAGGATGTATTGATCATATATTCACCCTCCACCAAATGTTAGGACACCGCCTTCGATTTATTGAACAGGACTGTTCTCTGGGATTGTCTATTGAAGAAGGGTGTACCTGAGAATTTTATTAACATCCTGAAAGCCCTATATACCAACACTACAGGGAGAGTGAGGACATACATCCACCTCTCTCCATCGTTACATTCAAGCCGTGGGGTTAGACAGGGTTTTCCAATCTCGCCATTCCTTTTCAACTTTGCTATCGATGACGTTCTGAAAACAGCTCTGATGGATGTAGGTAATGGTAGTGTGGATCTGTTGCCTAGAAAAACTTTTCGATCTTGCGTATGCGGATGATATTGTCTTACTTTGCGATGATACCTAAGCCATGTAGTCCGCACTTAGTCGGTTGCCAATCAATATTCGTAGGTATGGCATGTGTCTTGTACCTTCTACGTACGAAGTACTTTTGCAAGACTGGCACGCACCTGAACTTGCACTCACCCTGGATAGTGAGCGGATAGAAGTATTCGAGAAGTCCGTGTATCTGGATAGCAGCGTGCTGGCGGTGGCGTGAGTGATGAGATCAATTCAGGAATAATGAACGCCAAAGAGGCTCATGCAAACCTGGGCAGTCTTTGGAGCCTTTGTGATGTTAGCCCGGTTGTTAAAAGCCAGACCTACAACGCGTTGGTGAGAGCAGCTTTGCTTTATGCTTGCGAAACCCAGCCTTTCAAAGTTGAGAATGTTAGGTGATCATCGTTGTCCCCGAAGGCTTGATGACATTCCCCCGCTATTATTATTAAATCGCATTCATCCACTAATTTCTGTTCATTGTTCGTCTTTTTATTACACTCACCCTCCATTCTCTATCTCTTCAGAACCCAATTGTTATTGTGTGGCGTTCATTTATTGGGTGCCCCCTTGTACAAAAGTTTGTGTTCACATAAATAAATAAACTTGTTATGTAACAAGCGATATTGTTTGAGTAACAGCTCATATATAAATAAATAAAATATGTATAACACTGATTGTAGCACTTCTACTGACAGAGTTGGATGGAGAATGCTGTTGGGCGGACAATGCTCGTCCACGAAGGGCAACGGGTCTAAGATATATATATATATATATATATATATATATATATATATATATATATATATATATATATATGCAGCCTGTTGTGATTGGATTAGTATTTTCTTCATTCCTCAGCTTGTTACTCAGAGCATCTTCCTCTGCTAAGGAATTTAAAAGTCGTGGAAAAAAACAAAATTAAATTTGCCAGAATAACTACTATTTGTTGTTAAATGGATGGACGCGTTTGTGTTCAAATGTCCAGGGGTACTGTTTACATTTATCCTGTTCAAGATCTACTAAGTACGTACAAAACTTTATTTCGTCAAATACTCGAATTATTTTAAAAATAAGTTTTGTAAAATAATTTCAAACTTTATTGTAAACAAAGTATTTTCGTTAAGAAATAATGTTCTCATCTTATGAACCTTTGAAAATCAGCTAATACATGATAAATGTTTCGTCGTCAAGGTTGTAGTTGTTCAGAATTAGAGAAATAGAGATAAACAGTATAACTTACCAAAGTTTTTTTTACACCGTCGTTGCATTCATCATTGACAGATGATCTGAAGTCAGATAAGAATCGATTAACTATTACATCATCCATACAGCGTTCTTGCAGAATCGTATTGAGCACTTTCAATAATGGATTAACCTAACAATAAAATAACAATAATAAAAGTTCTTGCTATTCGTCTGTGGACCAAAAGATGAGTAAACTGTGCAGTAGTATGTTATGATCTACTTTAAGGCTGTGAAGGGTGACCTTTGAAAATAGAGGATATTCATAAATGGCTAGTATTTGATTGTAGATGTTTTTGGACTGTTGTTTGAGTACGTTAAGACTATTAGCTTCAATAATACTTCGATACCTAACTAAAGCTCGTGAGGAGCAGACTAGATAAAATCAGGCTGGTTTTCGACCTGGACGTGGTTGTATAGATCAGATATTCACACTACGTCAGGTTCTAGAACACAGACACACATTCAGACGCCCCACAATCGTAGTATTTCTCGACCTTGAGGCGGCATTCGACTCTGTTGATCGTGAGGTTCTATGGCAGTGTTGGTCATTGAAAGGAGTACCAAAGAAGTACATTAACCTTATAAAGGCTCTCTACTCGAACACAACTGGTCGAGTGAGAGCTTATGGCGAACTGTCATCAGAACTGACTACCTCAAGTGGTGTTCATCAGGGCTGCCCACTCTCCATTCTTGTTCAACTTTGTGGTCGACGTACTTTTAGAGATGACACTTTCCTCATCTAGATTTCCAGGGGTTGAACTTCTACCGGGAGGTTCACTTGTTGACTTGGAATATGCTGATGACATAGTTTTATTTGGTGAAGACGCTGACAAAATGCAGTCTTCTGACCACTCTAAGCAAAATTGCAAGCATGTGTCGGGATGCGATTCCCTCCCTCGAATGCAAAATGTTGCTTCAGGATTGGGTTGCATCCTTTCAGTGACAAACACTGCCATAGAACCTCACGATCAACAGAGTCGAATGCCGCCTCAAGGTCGAGAAATACTACGATTGTGGGGCGTCTGAATGTGTGTCTGTGTTCTAGAACCTGACGTAGTGTGAATATCTGATCTATACAACCACGTCCAGGTCGAAAACCAGCCTGATTTTCTCTAGTCTGCTCTTCACGAGCTTTAGTTAGGCGTCGAAGTATTATTGAAGCTAAAATTTTAGACACTATATTTGTCAAACTGATTCCTCTGTGATTGTCACAAGAGGACTTTTGTCCTTTCTTATAGACTGGCACAATCAGTGATTGAAACCAGTCAGATGGGATTACGTCCAGTTCCCAAATTCTACCTAAGACCTCAGTTAATCTCATTGCTAATACTGGACCACCATCCTTAAAAATCTCAGGAGTAAACCTGTCAGGGCCTGCTGCTCTCCCTCGATTCAGATTTCCTATGGCTTTTTCAACTTCGTAAAGGGACGGAGGACCTACATTAGCTTGCCATTCAGGTTGACTAGAGATCGTGGGAAACCGAAGTGTGGCTGAAGGCCAGTTGAACTGATCCCTAAAGTATTCTGCCCATCGATCCAATCTCCTGGATTGAGAATGAATAATATGTCCATCTTTCTCTGAGATTGTATCGCTAACGGTCGGGTTCCTAATTCCGGTTTCCTTAACGAGTCTGAACAATTGTCTGCTATTACCTATTGCCGCTGCCTTTTCCATCTCTCTTGCTTTCGCTACCCACCACTGTTCACGGTCATTGCGTAGACTTCTTTTCAGCTTGCGCTTAAGCTGACTCCGCTCTTCATTATGTTCAGAGCCAGGTGGAATGAGTTTCCGAGCATCTATCAGTGCGATAGATGCTGCTGAGATCCAGTGTTGCTCCCTAACCTTCTGGTTTACCTTACTAGCAGATATCACTGCTGTTTCCACGGCTTTTCGGATATCTTTCCATGCTGCCTCGGGGTGGGCATCACCTATATGACTGCCTAACTGTTTTCCTAGTTGTTCCTGAAATATACTCTTAGCTTGACTATCATTAAGTAGGCCCCTAAGAGGTTTCCTTACAGCGTCTTTCCTACGTCCAGTAAGACGCAGACAGATACGCGCTCGTACTAGAGCATGATCTGAATCTAAGCATGTGCTCCAGAATGAGCGACAGTCTTCTATCGAGCCCCTCCATCGGTGGCTGATAGCGATGTGATCTATTTGGGTCCAACGTTGGGACGAATTAGGGGGTCGCCATGTTAAAAGATGTTCATCCTTATGCTTAAAGTTAGTATTTGCAAGGAGCAGGCGGTTATCTGAGCATAGCTGTAACAGACGGTCGCCATTATCTGTTCGTTGAGCCACGATGTTATTAGACCCACCCAGGTGTCTTTCCCTATCGCTTAGTTTACGTACTTGAGCATCAAAGTCACCAGCCACTATTACTACATCAGTGCGCCTAGCTTTTCGGAGAAGGTCCGAGAGCTTTCTGTAAAACTCATCTTTTACATCATCTGAGCTGCAGTCAGTGGGAGAATAGGCAGAGACGATGAAGAGGCAACGACGAGTGTCCCTATCTTTCCGAGTCCTTACTGTTCCGTTCAGTCGGACAGCGCACAAACGACTGTCTGCTGGGATTTACTCTAAGAGAGCTAGTTCTGCCCTAGAACTCAATGCTATACCTACACCGGCGAGGCCACGGGAAGCAGAATCTGGGCTTCCAGATACACGAAGTGTGAATCGAGTCGGTTCTTTATTTTGGCATGGTGAGGTCAAGTGAATGACGCTACCCGGATCCTGTGTGCGCGTCTCGGAGACGCAGCACAAATCGATGGCGCGGGATTCTAAAGTCCTAGCTAAGGGAGCCTGTTGTCCTATTTGGCACAGTATTCGTACGTTAAAAGCTCCTACATGTAGTTTAGAGCGTGGTTTCAGGAGACCAGGAATAACGTTCCGCGTATTCGAATAGTTTGCCCTAGCGGTGCGAGGTGATAAACAGACGTGAGAAAGGTTAGTTGTGGAGATAAGTGGTATTAGGAGGTGTAGGAAGGATTTGAATGTGACCAACTTGGTCTCGTGTGTTGTTACGGGTATGAGGGCTGATGTCACTTCCCGGCTGCCCACACCGTGGAAGGGTATTTCTTGAGGAACCTCAAAAAGAAGTCGGACTAATGTTGGTCTTAACGACCTGGGAGCGTGACTGCAGAGCACAAGGGACAACTGCTTGAGGCCGGTCGCGCACGGCCTTTTCGTGAAAGGTTTTTAATGTGTCAGCACCGTTCTTTAAAGGGCCTTACCGCCGGAGACGGAAATCCGTGAGGTAAGGTGAGGTGTGACATTTTTAGGGTCGAACTTTTCTAACCCCACCCCTCCTTGTGGGGAGGCAGCATCGCTGCAGATGCTGGTTGTCCGAGGGAAACACCCTACTGCTGTCACACCCCTCTACAGTCAGCAGTACGACTTCTCCCTCAGACCTTGAGTTGCTGCTTTTAGTCTTACCGTTCTCCAATCGACATGCCTGGCATGGTAGAACCTAGAGGAACATGTGTTCCAGCCAATATAGCTCGGTTGGGTCATCACGATAGGCAAGCCCGACCACCGCGTCAAGGTAGCAGCTACGGTTGCATAGTGGAAGCTGATATTGGCGTCCCAAACTCAACAGACAGGGCTAGGCAGGGAAAAGGACAAATAAGGACTAGTGAGGATGCTAAGCTGCTCGTACCATTAATACATCATTGGTTTGGCACGGTGCTAAGATCACATAAGTCGTATTCTGATTGATGAATCAGTCACATGACAATCAGCCGGACAAAAGTCACAACCGCGACCTGATTAAGATACCAAAGAAAGGAGATCTGAGAAAATGTTGGAACTATAGAGGCATCACACTACTGTCGGTACCAGGGAAAGTTTTCAACAGAATGTCGCTGAACTAGATGAAAGATTCAGTAAACGGCCAAATTCAAGATCAACAGACCAGATTCCGTAAGGACCGGTCAAGCACTGATCAAATAGTGACACTATAGAACATCGCAGAACAATTAATTGAATGCAACTCGTCACTATACATCAACTTCTCTGACTACGAGTTTGACTGTGTGGATAGGAGAACTTTATAGAACTTTCTTCGACACTACGGTGTACCTGAGAAAACCGTCAACATTATAGAAAGTTCATACGAAAGACTACACTGTAAAGCCGTGTATGGAGGACAGTTGACAGATGTATTAGACAAGGCAGCTTACCTCACTCTTCCTTTTTCTTCTGGTGGTCGACTGGATTTTGACGACCTGAATGTCTCGATCGAAACACGAATTACAAAGGACATTCTGTATAGATCTGGACGATTTGGACATCACAGATGACTTAGCTCTTCTATTTCACACACCAACAAATTCAAATGAAGACAACAAGTGTAGCAGCAGCCTCTGCATCAGTAGGCCTCAACATACATAAGAGAAAAAGAAATATCCTCAAATACAACGTAGGAAAACCATCCCAAAGCACACTCGATGGAGAAACTCTGAAAGAAGTGGAAACTTTCACATACCTGGGAGGCATCATCTATGAACAAGGAGGATCTGATGCAGATGTGCAGGCAAAGATTGACAAAGCAAGGGTAGCATTCCTACAGTATAACATATAGAACCCAAAACAATTGTCTGAAAGCCAACACCAAAGTCAGAATCTTCAACACAAACGTCAAGACAGTTCCATTGTATGGAGCCGAAACTTAGAGGACTTCTACAACTACAGTCAAAAAGTACAGGTTTTTATGAGTAACCATCTATACAAAGTACTCCGGATCCACTGACTAGAGACCATCAGCAATGACATACTGTGGCTGAGGACATAACAACTTCTAAATGAAGAGGAAATAAGGAAAAACCGCTAGAGGTGGATAGGTTACAATTTACAGAAATCGTCAGGCTGCATCACAAGATAAACCTTGACTCGGAATCATGAAAGGAAAAGAGGTGGATCAAACAATACACTGAGTCGGGAATTGGAGGCTGGGATCAAAAGGATGAACAGCAATTGGCGACAACTGGAAAGGAGAGTCCAGGACAGATTTGGTTAGGCAAGCCTGGTCGGCGGCCTATATTCCACGAGAGTTAACAGATGTAAGTAAAATCTCATCGTTATTCGCATGACTGTTCATTTATTTCTCTAGACATCCTTATAATTTTCGATTCCCACTAAGAAATGACTCTGAAGTATTTGATCAAATGGAATTTTTATACTTTCTTGAGGAATAGTATCACCTTAAGGATAACACATGAATGTAAATCAACTGTAGATATATTTTAAGTGTTAGGACATTGAACAATAGTTATTATCACTGCTCACCTTATTTTTTCTCCATAATATACAAAAAACTGAACGATAAATTGGTAACAAAGTTTCTGAAAGATTTTTCACACACCATAGGTGAATGCTGTGACATTTCTCTATGTGCTAATAAAATTAAAAGAACACAATATCTTTTTAAGACAAGAAATAAAAGTTGCTGAGAAAAAGTTGAAAATTTAGCTATTTGTGAAGATGAGATATCAAACATATTACTGATTATCAATTGATATTAATACGAACAATCCGTATGAATGGGATTTTAAATGCAAAAGAGATGCATGTATAAGACTAACGGTTCTCTCTAAATGAGGAATATGTATTTATCCAATCAGATTCACGGACAACTAGGATCTAGTGGTCTCTTGATTGGTCGAAAGTCAGTTTCACATAGATTGAGAAAAAGGTCAGTTACAATGATTACTAATGAGTTAGTGTAGAAAGTAACAGACGTTTGTACGATAACAATATGTGGCATACAGGTGTGAAAGGACTTAGTACCGCTTAAATTTATTCAATGACAAAAGTCTACAGAGCGCTCTCGTATTTAGTGACATTTTGTAGCAATAACATATTAACATCAGGACTAAGCAACCTAATCAATTCACAGATGGTATCTAGCTTCCTTTACTGAAATCCACACCCTGGCACTGCTAATTATTTTTAGAAATTTAGAGCAGACAAATCATATTTATTAAAGCTTGTATACAAACTGCTACTGAGGCTAACAATTGAGTATTTTTTTCTAAAATACTTCCACAACGTTGTTGTTGTTATAAAAAATAAGACGACGTTTTAAGTACATGACGTTTTTGTCCGGACAAATAAGTATTATCCCTGCAAGATTTATATCGTAAAGTTACGTTTTATTCAAAAAACAAGATTTCAATAACTGTTTCGTATGACTAACGGCAAAAAGTACACTTTGGTTCACTTATTTATTTAAACACATTAACATAGGTACAGGAAGGCACCAAATAGAGTGAAAATTAGATCTAATAAAATTGCTCATGATATTATTGTGATTCAGTTTCTCTCTAGTAATGCTCTCATGTGGCCACGTGCATACGACCAATTTCGTAATAATAATATCATTATTGTTCCCCCGACATATTAGATATTCCTTTTATATCTTCTTATCTTAATTTCTGACTATCCTTTGAAATTAATTGTGACTTTCATAGCATCATTCTTAATTATTATTGCACAAATATTTATACTAATATCCGGTTTCACTCTGTATACTATTACATAAATCTAAATGTATTCATCCGAGTGCATTGAAGGATTTTTATTTTATTTTTCTAAATTGGTTTCCTTCTGAGGTTGATATTCATTACGCAATTATTATTATTATCATGGATGAAACTTTTCACTAGGTGTTCACTTCTTTTCTTTCTTCTCTCCCTCTAAATAAATATTCTTAAGATTATGAAGTTTGTAATTAAGACAATAACTTGTGTTACACTAAAATTAACTTCTCAGACCCGTTTTATCTTCATTATGCATATATGTCTCATACATATTGATATTTCATTATCCTTTTCACTCAATTGAGACTTTCATTGCATCACTCCAGACTATGACTGCACAAACATTTATTCTAGTGTCATATCTTACTGCAATAATAAGTTGTTTTTTCTTAATCATCTTTTGTTACTAATTTGACGATATATACATAGTCGTTTGTTCTTGTTTTATGTTCATAAACACGCCAATTAAACTGTTTGCGTATTTCACGTCTCCTTTATTTCTATTCCCTTATTTTCTCCATTTCCTTCTTTAAACTCAATTCAATATTCTTCTCAATTACACAGACCCGATTTATTATTATTAATATTCTACTATTATTACTCTAAAAAAAATTTTAATATGGCAAGTATAATGCTAACATTATTGAAAATTGTGTATTATTGCATTTTTTGAGGAAACCCGAAATGGTTTTTTCACAACACTTATGTACCCATGAGAAGTTTGTGAATAATAATAATAATATTAATATTAATAATAATAATAATAACACCTACACCACAGGAAAGCAGTGAGTAGGAATTCCCTGATAGTGGTTGTGTGCACGTGGCAATGTGAGAGCATTGCGAGAGGGAGAGTTGACTCCCCCCACTCTCGGCCGTACCAGGGCATTTGGGGGCTCTGGTGTCTCCTCATTTGCGAATAAATCTCTCGCCTTTTACAACCTTAGTACGAACTTCACACTTTGTATTTTGACTGCTTACAATTAAATAAAAGGGTTGGAGTAGAGTTATGTAAGAACTGCTGATGCTTTTAATTTCACATAAATAGTAGCAAATCTTTTGAATTGAGAAATTTATCAGCGGCAAAGTTATCACCAAAGCCTTACGAAATAAACTATAAAGCACATAGAATATCTCTATCCTACCACTCATTACTCAACAGTTCTTAAGTCAAGTTCATTTCAGTGATTCCCGTGTAACTCGAAATGCGTTAAAGTTGGTAAATAATTTCTTCGCAGTTTAATGAACTACTTGTTGAACTTTAAGTTTTTTAATTTATTCAATCAAATTGACTTTATGGTTAAAAACAGAAACAACTGGAAGAGTCTAATATTTTGTTTACTCTACCTACAAAATACACTTTAGAATGTCACTCAGTTGTAATCAACATAAAGCAAAACACAAATATGCATTGGTTTAAATTGCCATAATAAACTAGTACGAGACAAAATCAACAGCAAGAGTACCAAAGGACTACAAATAACTAAAATAACAATGATATTAAGAAATGCTAGGAATTGGAGAAAAGGAATAAAAATGCATATATGAAAGGAATACTGGAACCCAAGACCTAGGATAAAACAAAGAGTGAGTGTTTCTGAGGCATTGAGATCGATCCTGAAACATGTCACCCAAAGCCTTCAACCACTTATAGCGGTTACTCTGCGGCTACCGACACAGCCTTTATATGCTGTGGTATGGTCGAGAGTGGAGAGAGTCTGTTCTTCTTCTAGAAATGCTCTCGCATGACCACGCGTATACATCCACTACCAGGTAAGTCCTACTCAATGTCTTTCTTCAGTGAGGTCGTTGTTTACGAAATTGAGAGGATGAAAAGCGAATGTTCGACGCTTGGACCGAGTTGACGGATACAGAGGATCCACCAAGGGGAGTTAGGAAACCCTGATTCCAAACTAATGGTGCACATGGACTCCAGGATCCTGAATGGAAAAATGGCGTACTAACCTATTGTTGGTCACCGACTATCGTGAGACCGCATCTCCTAGCGTTGCCTTGTGAATCCGACCTCTAGGTCAAAGGCTTGGGGAGTAGCCCCTTAAGGAAACTATTTGTATCTGGGCACCCGGAAAGTATATCAGTTCACACGAATTCATTGATTTGTATAGCGCATATCTGTTTTGATGCCCTTTGTACCAATGTGGATGTGTCTAGACAAGTAATGAAGTCCACAGCTCCTCACTACTATTCAAACTAACACTCGATGTTTACATGCATCGGTCTTGTCATCTTTATCCGATTTTCAGGAAACTTTTAACAATCAACATATGATACATATACCATTGCGCATTCGTATAAAAAATGGCCTAGTGTAAGTAACACTGTGTATCAAGTTTACAAGATTCATAAACAACTGCATTGCTTATATTTTGTATTCAGATAACTTTAATGTCACAGAAACCCGGTAGGGTAAGTAGTGTAACATAACCATCAGAGGTGTTATAGTCTAATTACCAATTCTGTGAAAATAAAAATACATCAAAATTTCATTGCCAGGGGACCTTAACCATCAAGAATTTTAGGTTTAATGAATTATCACAACAGTTAAGTTCGGTTACTATGACGAGGTAGTGGATATATATATGCATAACAGTAGTTGCAATGAGAGGCATTTAAAATTCCATAAGTAATCGTACCCAAAAAAGGTCAGCGAATATTCTTCTCAGAGTATTAGCAGCACGATGAAGACAAAGTTCCTTGTATACATTTAGGCGTTTAATATCATGAAACTGAAATTAATAAAGCAAATGACATAATAAATGCGAACTTGAGAGCAGTAAAAGTATTCATTTCTCAAAACTTTTCTCAGAGATGATAAAATCTGATTCAAATGCCTTCTTTCACACAAAACCCACGTATGGTTATCATCTATAACGTTTTTGAGCAATAAGAATTATTAACTAAGGCAACCTTTGGGTTGTTTTGTAGGAAACCTTTGACATAACTCAGGCACAGACGAACAATTAGTGAATGATAGATTTTGATGAACTCTTTCCTCTTCAAATGAACATCTAGGAGCAGGCCCACCAACATCTAAGCAACTTTCTTCTACTTCAAGACTATCAAGATTTAAAAAGAGAATAGCAATAAGTTACTTTGAATGGTAAGGTGACAAGTTGAATATTTCGTTATCACTATCACAATTACTTTTACTTGAAGATGTGTAACAATGGTCCACTTCAATTAAAGATCGAACTTTATCAAGCTGGGAAAAATCCATAGCTAATCATTAGTTGAGTGTACGGTATGATCAAAAGTTGTTAAATATCTGGAAAAGTAAAGACAAATAAAAACTGGGAGTTTAAGAAGTTGATACAAACTGTACATATATAAACACTTCAACATTAGTTGTAGTACATACTATTGCCCCCAAATTCTTCGGTACGGCCGAGGATGGGTACAGTCAGCTCTTCCTCTCGAAATCAGTCGGTAAGTCAGCTACAACGTAGGACTAGACAGATATATGCATCGGTCCAAGTTGCCACACCTCATTAGCACAACAAGATGAACACCGAATGCATAGAAGTAGTTAATTCAATGGTGGTAATATATAAAAGAAGGATTGCACATAAGGATATAGCACAGGAAGAAAGAATTGGTTGGTAGAAAAATATAAAGCAATTTTAATGTCATAGTTTAAGGGAAAACAAAGAATGAATACACCTACTCTATTGTGATCGATTCTGAGCCATGTCACTCCGACCATTGGTTACGATGGTTACGCGGACCCCAACTAAGTGGTCTACATCTACCAACATAGATCAGACTAGGAGCTAGTGACTTCAAGCACTGATACCAGGTTTTGGTTTGGCCACCCCCTAACTCTCTACCAATCATCGCCAACACTAATCAGCATTGCATGTAGTGGTAATCGATGTTCAGGCATACGTGACACGTGACCCAACCATCTCAGTTGATGAAGATTCACAACCTCATCAACTGATTTACCATCATTCCCCAATACACTACGTCTAGCCTCACTATTACTTACCCGGCGATCCCAGAAGATACGAGCGATATTTCTAAGACATCGTTGATCAAATGCTAGCAACTTACGAGTATCTTCTACTCTTAGTGGCCACGTTTCGCAACCATAAAGTAGAACAGAACGAACTACTACACAGTATGTTCGTCCCTCAATTAATAAACGGATATCTCGCCTTCGCCATAGGTGACTCAAGTCGGCAAAAGTCAAACGAGCGTTCTGAATCCATGTTGAGATTTCGTCAGACACCAACCCATTAGGGCTGATCAGACTACTTCACTCCCTATCCTTAGTTCAGGTGTTGACGCAGATCAGTCCTGAAACAACAACTTACATTTAGAGAGGGAGAAACGCATCCCAAACATCCTGGCATTGTTGCTTAGTGCGACCAAAAGACTGCATTTTATCAGCGTCTTTATCAAACAAGACTATGTCATCTGCGTATTCTAAGTTCATAAGTGGACCTCCTCGAAGGAGATCAATGCCCGAAAATTCAGTCGACGAAAACGTTATTTCTAGCAATATGTCTATGATGAAGTTAAACGAAAATGGACATAACTGACAACACCGCTTGAGGTTGCAAAATCAGATGACAGTTCGTCATAAGCTCCGACTCGACCGGTGATGTTCAAGTAAAGAGACTTCAAAAGGTTTATGTACCTCTGAGGTTAAGCTTGCAATGACAGACACTGTCATAGAACCTCTCGATCTACGGAGTCAAATACTGCTTTGAAGTAAAAAAAACCCCATCATTGTTGGACGCCGATAAACATAACTGTGTTCTAAAACCTGACAAATGGTGAATATGTGGTCGATACAGCCACGACCAGGCATAAAGCCAGTCTGATTTTCTCGTGTTTGCAGTTCATGGGTCTTAGGAGCCCAATAATTATTGAGGTTAGGACTTTAGATACTATGTTAGTCAAACTAATCCCCCCGATGATTATCACATGACAACTTTGACCCCTTATTATACATTGGGACAATCGGTGATTGTGACCAGTCAGATGGGATAACGTTCAACTCCTAGATTTTAGCTAAACTATTATTCAACCCAATCGCTAAAATTGGACCACCATACTTAATGACCTCTGGAGCCAATCCACCTGGACCAGCTGCTCTTCCTTGTTTCAGATTAGCTATAGTCTTTTGAACTTCAACTAGATTAGGGGACCTACTTCATTGTTCCATTTAGGCTGTTTGGGAATCGTGGTAGTTGTAGAGTAGCTTAAGGCAAGCTAAACTGTTGTCTAAAGTGTTCCGCTCACCGTTCTAAACATCTGGGCTGAGAACAGATAAGTGTCGTCTTTTTCCGAGATTGTCCCTTACATCTGACTTCTTATTCTCAGTTTCTTTTGTTAGTCTGAAGAGCTGTATTGTGTTACTTACAGTCGTCGCCTTTTCCATCTCTTTTGTTTCCATTGCTCACTACTGCTCACGGTTGTTCCTTAAACTTTTGGTTAACCTAGATCTGATTTGTTGTCGCTCTTTATCGTATTCAAAGCCTGATGGTATGAGATTACATGAACTCATCAGTGCAATAGACTTAGAAGAAATCCATCGGTATTATGTGACCCTTTGGTTTAAATCACTAATAGATGTCACTGCTCACAGCTGTTTGTTTATCTTCCTAAGCAACATCTGGGTCAACTCTCGAAAAGCTCCCACATGGCCACGTGCATACAACCACTACCAGGGAAGTCCTACTCACTGCCTTCTCGCGGTGGGGGTGTTGTTTATAAAATAGAGAGGACAAAAAGAGAAAGTTCGGCGCTTGAATCGGGTTGATGTACACGGAAGGTTCACTAAGGGGAGTTGGAGGACCCTGATTCCAAATCAATGGTGCACATGGACTCCAAGATCCTGGGGGGAACAAATGGCGGATGAACCTATTCTTGGTCACCGACTACCATAGGACTGCATCTCCTGACGTTGCTCCACTGCCTTCTGGATCGGACTTTTAGGTCTGAGGCTCCGGGTATGGCCTCCTAAGAAAACCACCTGCTTTAGTCTGGGCACCCGGACAGTATCACAGCCTACACACAAATCAAGTGAGTTGTGTGGCGCATATGTATTCGGCGACCCTTTGTACCAATATTTATGTTCAAATAAATAAAAGTAAATAAAATAAGGAACTATGCGTGACAGAAAAGGCTGTAGATAATTCTTCTAGAAAGGTTTCTTAGATGTGGAGAGAAATTGAACGAGCGAAAATGTACTAAACTCAGTCTACTAAAGACGCTTAAACGGAGTGAGAAACAATTTTTGTCAGAAAACAGTGGTATGGCTTTGGCTTCATAAAAAGGTACTCCATTTGTAACGTCATCAACGGCAAATAATCATATAAACAGACTTCTCAAATATCTTTACTAGCTCATTAACAAGAGTACTTAAGATATATGATATCTTTGCTTCACAAGGACTTCTAATTTGGTGACATACACTTTCTTGAGGAAGCAACCTACAGAGTTTCGTTTAAAATAATTTGGATTAAAATGTGAAGACACACTTCTCTTTGTTAATATAGTAGGAGCCATAGCGGTTTCTTGTGTTCATAGTATCTGTTTAACTAAACCGTAGATTGATGTAGGTTTCCTTACAGCATAGTTTTACTCCAAGTGTTCTGGAGTGTTATGAGATTCGAACCATTCAGACCAAGAAAAATCATGCAAATTATTAAAACTGTTGTCTACAAGTTAAAGTACAATATGTATAGAAGTTTAAAGGTGGAACTATGATTACAATTTCGGGTTAGAAATATAAGCAGTTCTCATCAAGAAATGCCAAGACACTATTTAACCGTATTTTAGCGGCTTTCTAGCCCAAAGGTACTTTTTGCACACAACAAACGTGCAGAGCAGCGTGAGTGGCATAGAAAAAGAGAACAAAAGTTGGGTCGACTACCCAACAAGCGTACAGAATTCACATACACTTATCGTGGAAAGCAATATTCAATAATCAGCAATAACACTGGATACGAATCAAGACATTCCTGGAATCGAACTAGAAGCAGAAAAGTTGATGCGCTACAGTATGGATGAACGAATTTTGAACCAAAATCCAACACTTGTTATCCTTAATTTCACCGATTAGTCCACAAATTTGTTTCTACCAAGTAGAACTTCCCTCAGTCTAGTTAGTGAGTTTTCAGGATATATGACAAGATGTCACTTTAAGTATGTTTCAGACAGAATGATTTCAATTGAGATAGTTAACTATCTGGCAAGACTATAACTTATGGATTTCATGTCGATATGCAGTAACATGTGTTGCTGCAGGACAAAGGAGGGGAAATTTACATCTCCTCTCTATTTACGCTTTCTTCCTCTTTATTTCTCTTTGTCCACATTTATTTCCCTTTAGTTGGTCGGTTGGGACTAAATTTATTCGGCCACAGTTAAGGAAACGACCAATGACCACATAAAGCAACAGCTCACTAAATGACTGGAATCCTGAGATACAACACTTGACTTTGCGGCAACAAGTATCATGACATTTACGGTACTATTTACTTTAAAAGACTAGTCTTGAGGAGACGTCCAAACTTTAATAGCCCGCGTAGGCTATTCTGTTTCCCATCAGTTTCAGTTTGTAAAGGACAGAAGACTTGATGGCCTGTGTTAGTCCTGGCAATTACGGCCTCTCAGTTGATCCAACTTCCCTTTGAAAGTGTCGACAGATGGAGCTTAAATCACATGTTGAGTTAATAAATTCTCTAGAGCGTTGTCAAACTTCAAATATCTGTAGCATCTTCAAGCTCAATGTTATTCATCATGTATGTATTTGTACCTTGATGACCAATATACATCACAATACACTTGGAAGTATTTATCGGCAACTGCCTAGTTTGAGACCATTCGGACAATTTCTCTAGGCCATTTTCAAGTTCTAAGCTATCACCGTAACGCTCTCCATATTTTGACATCATCAACATATAGGAAGACCGACGGTGACAGAGACAAAGAATGTCATTTACGTACAAGAGGAATAACACTGGCCCCAAAACTGTACTCTGAGGCACTCTTTTAAGCACAGTTTCCCAGCTAGACAACTTTGAGTTCGCCCGTACTGTTTGTTGACGCCCAACTGGGAAGCCTTTTATACACATTATTAACTTGCCTACAACCCCGATATTTCTTAGCTTATATAACGGTCGATTTTGGTGGACTTCGTCAAAAGCCTGGCTGAAGTCCATGTAGGTTACGTCTATAGGTATATTTCGGTCAATCAATTGTCCTGCGTTAATCCTTTCACTAAGTATTTCGTTGAATATTTTTGTTTTTAAAGTTTCCGTTAAATATTACAATGCAGATTCATTGGACAGAACGTTCTAGTTGATGACCACTCTGTGACAAAATTGTATTCCTACTGAAGATTTTCAGTCACAGTTTTGAAACTTCTGTAATACCACAAGAATGATCATTTCTAGGAGTTCCAGAAACAAGTAATATAGACAAATTAATCGTCATTTATCAAGGGCAGTTCTTGTGTCAGTCAACTTTTTTGAAGTCACTTATCTTCAAAAGTAGTACAACGATCTTTCAGCACGACATATCTTTGACAAAACCACTGGTCAAAGAAAAACGTCATTGAGGGAATCTGTACTTTGTGACACTATAATATTTTGAATTATTTGAATTATAGCACGAACTAAGAGTCCCAGAAATAACGTGTAGCGGTAAATAAATCCCCAAACTAAATAGCTCTGTAAGTTTTAGACATTGGATGCTGACCATATGTTTTAGTGGACTCATCTAGCTGAAGGCGCTCGGTCATGCATCCGCACCAGATCACGTGTGGTAACGCCGTGCTCAACATCAACCGCAATTGCTAGCCAGATTAGATCAGAGAATTCCGATATATTGGTCATCGCCAAATATACTCTTCCGATCTCCTCGACTCTGTCTTTTGATTTCTCTGGATGGGAACGAAATACATTAGTAGGTGTTACTGGTAGAAGCGTTGTCAAACACTGAATACCTGTGACATCATCATTGGTGAGACCGACGTGATCTGGTACACCTAATTGCAACTGTGAGTCTGTTCCTTTTTGGGATTTTTATATATCATTGTCTTATTTTTTATTTTTTAAACATTGTGATTTTTTTCGTGTTTTTTCTTGGATATATATATTTTTTCCCCTCGTTCGTTATCGTACTTCATACTTCATCATGACTGAACAGACACCTAAAGTACTCAAGCTTAAGACTTTGTCCCCGTCTTCGTTTCAACTGATGCCTTTCTGGCCCGATAACATCGAAGCCTGGTTCTGCTACGCAGAAGCCGACTTCCACGAGCACGGCGCGATCGACACACGTGCACAATTCCTCGCAGTGGTCAAGGCACTACCGCGCGAATTCAACAGGTACGTAACACCTAGTATGTTTACTAGTGATATTTCCGATCCTTACGAAATCTTAAAACGCTCGATTCTTAAACGAGGAGACCTAACCGATCGACAAAGGTTAGATCAATTCTTCAACAATATCGACCTGCAACACGGTTCTGCGACGGACATGTTGCAACGGATGAGAGAGGTAATAGGCATAAGAACTTTCGACGAAGGTCTATTCAAACAGCTACTCTTGTCAAAACTTCCCCAACAGGTGCAAGCAGTTCTGGTCTCGTTCCAGAACAACGCCTTAGACGAGCTAGCTGCATCTGTCGACCTCATTTTAGAAATTAAGAAATCTACTACCGAGGTATTTTCAGTCAAAGAAAAACCTCAAACGACTCAGAATGATATAAACGACTTACGTCACACACTCACGCGTTATCTTAGTCTTCGTACCGACCGTAAGAGATCGCGCACACCACGTAGAAGCATTTCTCGTAAGCGATCTTTCTCTAGACCACGAGAGACAGATAACCGCGGCTGGTGCTGGTATCATAACCAGTATGGACAGCTTTCCAAAAATTGCAGAAAACCCTGCAATTTTCCCAACACGAAACCGACTGATTCGAAAAGCGATTCGGGAAACTTCCAAGCCGGCACGCGTTAACGGCAACCGTAGTCGGCGAACAAAGCCGTCTGTTATTCGTCACAGATGTGACAACGAGAGTTCGCTACCTCGTCGACACTGGCGCAGAAGTTAGCGTTCTCCCAGCAAATCCTAACGACCGACTTCACGAATCGACCCTAAACTTACAGGCGGCAAACGGAAAACCGATCGCTACGTATGGCAAAAGGTACGTTTACCTTAACGTGGGTTTACGCAAACCCATTCACAGGATTTTCGTTGTTGCAGATGTTTCTATGCCAATCATTGGTATGGACCTTCTACAACATCACAATCTGATCATCGATACGCGCAAACGGAGGCTAGTAGACGGAAACACTAATTTATCCGTTTGCGTAACTTCTTTTACTGGTTGCAGAGTATCCCCAGTCACAGTTAAACATATGATAAGTACCCTGGGATACAACAAACCGAAACTACCGTGTGTAACCAGCAACGTTACACATCACATCACGACTCCAGGACCACCTGTATTCTCTAAAGCACGACGACTAGCTCCTGAAAAGCTAAGGTTAGCGAAAAACGAATTCGATCACATGATGGACTTAGGAATCATACGACCGTCAAGTAGCCCATATGCATCTCCGTTGCACGTGGTCCCTAAAAAGGACAGCAACGATTGGCGTCCAACTGGTGACTATCGGCGATTGAACGCGAAAACCATTCCCGATCGTTACCCGTTGCCTCACATCCACGATTTGACAGCTACCTTGAAAGGTACAACTGTCTTTTCGAAAATCGACTTGGTTAAAGCGTATAACCAATTCCCTATGGCTACTGACGACATACAGAAAACAGCTATCATAACTCCCTTCGGACTCTATGAATTTTTGCGAATGCCTTTCGGTCTACGAAATGCTGCTCAAGCATTCCAAAGATTCATAGACGACGTTTTTCGAGGTCTCAACTTCGTACACGCGTTGATGACTGTCTAATCGCAAGTCCGGACAGAGAAACACATCTCAAGTTTCTGGACCTTGTTTTCGAACGATTACAAAAACATGGCATTACTGTAAACGTTCAGAAATGCCAATTCGGAACCGACTCATTAGATTTTCTGGGACACACCATCGATGCTCAAGGTATCCGACCCCTTAGAACCAAAGTGGCGGCCATTCTGGATTACCCAGAACCGACCACCGTCAAGCAATTACGCACGTTTAACGGCCTCGTAAGTTTCTATAGACGTTTCATACCGAAATGCGCATTACTTATGAAACCTCTGACCGACCAACTTCGTGGAAATGCGAAATCCATTAATTTGGACGAGACCGCACGAAAAGCATTCTCCACAGTTAAGGAACTGATTGCTAAAGCAACAATGCTCGCACATCAGGACACCCGAGCACCCATTAGCATCGCAGTAGACGCATCCGACTCAGCAATCGGAGGAGTCTTACAACAATGGGTTAACAACTCCTGGCAACCCTTGGCATTTTTCTCTAGAAGGTTGCTAGACACCGAATCGAGGTACAGCACATTCGGTAGGGAACTCCTAGCTATGTATTGTGCTGTACGGCATTTCCAACACTACATCGAAGGTCGTGAATTCACTCTTTTCACGGACCATAAACCGCTCACTTTCTCGTTAAGCTCTCCTTCTGACAAGTCTCGACAACTGGACTACATTTCGCAGTTTACTTCAGACATTCAACACATCTCTGGAGCAAACAATGTAGTTGCAGACGCTTTATCTCGCATAACTTCCTTGAACAGTTTCCAAGGAATCGACCTTCTTAAACTCGCCGAGCTTCAAAAAGAAGACAGTGATCTTCAGCACGAGTTATCGTCCACAACACTTAAACTACGCATCAAACAGATGGGAACAGGTAAAGAAACCTTACTTTGTGACACATCTATAGGTAGGGATCGCCCAATCGTGCCGAAACATTATCGACGCAATGTCTTCAATACATTGCACAAACTTTCGCATCCAGGTGTTCGTGCAACCATCAAGCTTATAGCAGAAAGGTTTTGCTGGCCTGGAATGAATAAAGACGTGAGGGAGTGAGCACGCTCCTGTGTAAGCTGCCAAAAATCTAAGGTTATCAGACACAACAAATGTCCCATAGGCTCGTTTAAAACTCCCGATGCTCGTTTCGACCATGTTCATCTGGATTTGGTAGGACCATTACCAGATTCAAATGGATACTCTTATCTCTTAACCTGCGTTGACCGTTTCACTCGATGGCCAGAAGCAATACCTATCAAGGACATCACTGCTGAAACAGTGGCCCGCACCTTCGTCGAACGATGGGTAGCAAACTTTGGCTGCCCTTCAACCATCACTACAGACCGCGGACGTCAGTTTGAATCTGATCTTTTCCGTTGTCTGACCACACTTTTAGGAATCACTCGCTTCCGAACGACCGCCTACCACCCACAAGCAAACGGGTTGGTAGAACGTTTTCACCGACAACTAAAAGCTTCACTATCAGCCGCAAACGTTTCACAGTGGACCGACGCTCTTCCACTTGTCTTACTAGGTATCCGCAATGCAGTGAAAGCTGACATTGGATACACTGCGGCTCAACTCGTTTATGGAACGACACTTCGAATTCCAGGAGAATTTGTGGATCCTTCATCCTCTTCAATGAACATGGATCTAACCTCCTACACGAACAGGCTTACAAACGCAATGCGTTCAGTTAAACCTGCTTCCACTCGACCGCAATCAACTGATGTTTTCGTTCAACCTGACTTACGATATAGTACACACGTTTTCGTTCGTCGAGATTCGCATCGACGACCATTCGAATCAGCATACGAAGGACCCTTCAAAGTTCTTCAACGTGAATCTAAGTACTATATAGTCGATAAGAACGGAACAAACGATAGCATCAGCATAGATCGCTTAAAAGCAGCGTATTTAGAAGGAAATCCTATTCACGTCGACTTTCCTTCGGTACAATCGCGCAACGCGACTCCTACACTCATAGTTCCTCAACCGACAACCAACACTAGCGATGATACTCCGAATGTATCTGAAAATAAACGTAAAAAGACGCGTTCTGGAAGTAGGGTAAGATTTCCAGAACATTTAAACGACTACTGCACGTAAGGCACTACTCGACATTTTATATTATCTCGATCTTTCTTTTTAACGATATATAATATTTTTTTAAAAAAAGACAATTTTATTATGCCTATATATTTATATTTTTATTTAAGAAAAAACAAAACATAAAAAACATTTTTTTTAAACACTATTACGTGTGCTTGGGTATATTTTCCATTTTTTCGTCGACATTGTGTTTTTACGCACATACGAGTGTATTTCGACATGCACTTACACTTTCTTTTTTCTTTTCCAGGACGACTGGAAAAGAACGATGCAGTTTACGAGGAGTCGAAAATTTCGTTGCAACTCTTTCTTTTTTTACTATGTTGTACCTCGGTCCCATATAGTAAGGAAAGACGACCAGACGCTGCTACACTTAGTAAGCTATCTGAAGAGTGGTTACCAACGACAAACTCGTTGGGTTTAAACCTCTGGCTGGCCACGTCTTTGGGTCGTCACTGCCCCACTAGGGGGGGAGTGACCTGTAGCGGTAAATAAATCCCCAAACTAAATAGCTCTGTAAGTTTTATACATTGGATGCTGACCATATGTTTTAGTGGACTCATCTAGCTGAAGGCGCTCGGTCATGCATCCGCACCAGATCACGTGTGGTAACGCCGTGCTCAACATCAACCGCAATTGCTAGCCAGATTAGATCAGAGAATTCCGATATATTGGTCATCGCCAAATATACTCTTCCGATCTCCTCGACTCTGTCTTTTGATTTCTCTGGATGGGAACGAAATACATTAGTAGGTGTTACTGGTAGAAGCGTTGTCAAACACTGAATACCTGTGACATCATCAATTGCCATTTCAGATCGTCCAAGTGACTTCCCAGGAGTCCTTCTAGAAAAACCTTGACATATACTTAAGGACTAAGGACAGTTTCTAGCTATAACCAACTATTTTTTCCCTTTTGTCGTTAAATATATTTCGTTTCTTACCTGGCGGCATCGGAGATCCACTGTAAACAATTACGTCAGGGCTATAAGCTGAGGCTTCTTCTATTCCATGCAGAACCATTTGAACCATTTTAGTTTGAGTCTTAATGGGACCGAGAACTACTTTAGTATCAATTTTACTGACAGAATTTCTGATCCTAAGTACAGTACACAGGAACTTTGATCCTTCCTCTGCGAAAATTTCTCAAAACTGATAGTGAGATATTATTAGTAATTGAATTTACGACAACAGAAGTCTATGATATGGTGTGATCAGAATATGAATTTACTTAAAGCGGGCATGATTCAAACCAAGCACCAAAATAGGTCAACAATTGCAAGAAAGAAAAGAAGTATTCTCAAGTTTTCAAAGTACGTACAAACAAATTAAATTTCCAAGAACTAAAACTTTAACAATACATTCAGATTTGTGGAAAATGAAGCCACCACATCTATGCCCTTGAAATGACCTCAAAGCGCTCACAGCTGATAACTATTACGTGGACGAATAAAAGTATGGAAGTCTTTTAAAAAAATATAAATCCCCTAAACATATGCTGACTTTGTATACTTTAAAGTTTATTCGTGTCCCGCGTATAATACCAGTGTTAAAATTTATACATCAGGAAAAATAGAAATCCCCTTATATCGAAATGCTAAATTCATTGACTTAAATTACTTTTTGAAAATGTCAGAACAAAAAACGCAGGTAAGAATGTAGTTAATGAAAATGGGCCATAATAAGTATGTCTTTTGAAAGATCGTGTAAAATTTGTTTACAAACTGGAACTATAGCTTCATTTTGGAAAGGACAGGAGGCTTGTTGGCCTGTAGCTAAAATACGATCGGTTCACAGCGGATTTTAGAGAGTAGGTGATTAATGAGAGGTTACAACAGATGGGACGGCGAGACTCTAATTTAGTAACGAGCTGGCAATCAGAAGCGTTTGAGCAATTTCAATTATTAGGCAATCAGAAGACAGCAAAAAGTAAGAATATATTAAAAGAAAGTAATAATTTAAAGTGGATATTCTTCTTTTACATGATTTAAAAACTCGTATGTTAGCATCCTAACCCTCACCTAACCCTAAACCTTAACCCTCACCTGAACCCTAACCTTAACCCTAACCGTATGTTAGCACCCTAAACCCTAACCTTACCCGTAAACCTAACCCTAACCCAATGGACGAGTTTCTATCCCATATGCATTGTGAATTCAGAACCTCTGAACCTTAATCAAACCCTAACAAGTTTTTAAATCATGTAAAAGGAGAATATCCACTATAATTCATTACTTTCATATAATATATTTTCACTTTATACTAACTTTCTTCTGATTGGCTAATTATTGTCAAGGTCACTTAAGATTCGTTCAAAGGTCGTCCCTAAATTAGTCTCGCCATAAATTCCACTTGTTGATGATTTGATGAGAAAGTCGATAGTCAGCTGGAAAGTAATTTGTTCTGGGCTTGTGAACTTTTTTGGAAGACAAGAAAAATGAGGACACATCATGTGTAAATTTATCACCAAGTAGTTTGAAAGCTGTAATCATATCATTTAATTCTTCGATATGACAATGGGAATAGGTTTATTTCAGCCAGCATCATACATGAGCTTCGCTATTCCAGAAACCAGCTCAGTTGTTGTCCTCTAAACTTTTTAAAAAAGCTCAGTGTCTTTTCTAAGTAGGGGATAGTCGCTTGTATGCAGTACTCACGTCTTGGGTCACACGAACACTGTATACAAAGTTAAAAAGTCGACATGATTAAACGCCTTACGTATTGACCATAGATTTCTAAAACCTTTGACGTATATCACATTGCGAAGTGCAGTAGTTTTGACTAACGATAACTCCCAAGTTATTGCGTGTCTGGACAACAGGTAACTTGTAGCGGTAAATAAATCTCCAAAATAAATAGCTCTATAAATAACGAACAGCTCGTATATTCTCTAGATTCGCTCATAAAGAAAGTATTTTTTGTGGCCATAAATTGGCACAATCACGTATTACTCTTCATGTAATTTGTGATACCACACTCAAACCATCTTTGCAAAGTCAAAGCTGATCACTAAAAGTCACTACCTCGCAACCATGGGCACTTGTTTTCTTGATATTAGCATAAACAACTACAAACTCCTAGAATGTTCCCTAAATTGAAACGATTATGTCTGTGAGATTTAGCAGTGGTTACGTATTTAGCTGTAACGAAGTCATTGGTGGCCAATAATTTCATACGTAATAATGCTCTGTCACTGGTGATTTTGTTGAGTAATTTGACTTTCTGATAAGGTTGACTCATTAGCTAACATCCTCAAAGGATGCTTCATGACTTTTTATCTATTTTTTTGACTGTCAAGCGACACTATATATTTTGCTTTTAGCAGTCCTATCTTGAGGAAGTCCACAAACGTTTGGCGAATTCTCCCTGATCTGGAGAAATTTTGAGGTTTTTGTGCCATTTTATGCTCTAAATTTTTCTATGACGGCTTCCTAAAAGTTTCTCAAAAATAGGAAGATTGAACCCCTGAAGACCACAGTAGATGAAAGAGGATTGTCTCCACTAATTGTTAATTTATTCGGTCGTACTTTGCGGTTTAGTTTTCATTGTCATAGTAATTTTCTGTTTAGTGGTAATTGCTCAGCTGACAAAGTTCCGTAGGATGTCTTCTCCTGTCCTTGATGCGAAATTTCGTTTCGTCGCTGTTTGAAATTTTTCGCTCAATTACTCGCGTAACATTTTACTACACATTTGTTTGTCCACCTCATGGTCTGACGCCAAATATCTCATATATTTGTTTCAAATTCCATAACAAACCACATGACGACCGCAATCGATTACGTTAGAAGAGTGGTACATGGTTAAATACATGTATTACCAAGCTGCTACCTTGACGCGGTGGTCGGGCTTGCCTATCGTGATGACCCAACCGAGCTATATTGGCTGGAACATATGTTCCTGTAGGTTCTACCATGCCAGGCAGGTCGATTGGAGAACGGTAAGACTAAACGCAGCAACTCAAGGTCTGAGGGAGAAGTCGTACTGCTGACTGTAGAGGGGTGTGACAGCAGTAGGGTGTTTCCCTCGGACAACCAGCATCTGCAGCGATGCTGCCTCCCCACAAGGAGGGGTGGGGTTAGAAAAGTTCGACCCTAAAAATGTCACACCTCACCCTACCTCACGGATTTCCGTCTCCGGCGGTAAGGCCCTTTAAAGAACGGTGCTGACACATTAAAAACCTTTCACGAAAAGGCCGTGCGCGACCGGCCTCAAGCAGTTGTCCCTTGTGCTCTGCAGTCACGCTCCCAGGTCGTTAAGACCAACATTAGTCCGACTTCTTTTTGAGGTTCCTCAAGAAATACCCTTCCACGGTGTGGGCAGCCGGGAAGTGACATCAGCCCTCATACCCGTAACAACACACGAGACCAAGTTGGTCACATTCAAATCCTTCCTACACCTCCTAATACCACTCTTAGCAGTGAGATTAACTGAGGTCTTAGGTAGAATTTGGGAACTGGACGTAATCCCATCTGACTGGTCTCAATCACTGATTGTGCCAGTCTATAAGAAAGGACAAAATTCCCCTTGTGACAATCACAGAGGAAGCAGTTTGACTAATATAGTGTCTAAAATATTAGCTTCAATAATACTTCGACGCCTAACTAAAGCTCGTGAAGAGCAGACTAGAGAAAATCAGGCTGGTTTTCGACCTGGACGTGGTTGTATAGACCAAATATTCACATTACGTCAGGTTCTAGAACACAGACACACATTCAGACGCCCCACAATCGTAGTATTTCTCGACCTTGAGGCGGCATTCGACTCTGTTGATCGTGAGGTTCTATGGCAGTGTTGGTCATTGAAAGGAGTACCAAAGAAGTACATTAACCTTATAAAGGCTCTCTACTCGAACACAACTGGTCGAGTGAGAGCTTATGGCGAACTGTCATCAGAACTGACTACCTCAAGTGGTGTTCATCAGGGCTGTCCACTCTCTCTATTCTTGTTCAACTTTGTGGTCGACGTACTTTTAGAGATGACACTTTCCTCGTCTAGATTTCCAGGGGTTGAACTTCTACCGGGAGGTTCACTTGTTGACTTGGAATATGCGGATGACATAGTTTTATTTGGCGAAGACGCTGACAAAATGCAGAGTCTTCTGACCACTCTAAGCAACAATACAAGCATGTTCGGGATGCGATTCTCTCCCTCGAAATGCAAAATGTTGCTTCAGGATTGGGTTGCATTGACACCCGAACTAATGATAGGGAGTGAAGTAGTTGAGCGTGTCGATCGCCTCACTTATCTTGGAAGTCTCATCAGCCCTTGTGGTCTGGCGTGTGACGAAATCTCAGCACGGATACACAAGGCTCGACTAGCTTTTACCAACTTGCGTCATTTATGGCGTAGGCGAGATATCCGTCTATCAACCAAAGGACGGGTTTACTGCGCAGCAGTTCGTTCCGTCCTACTTTACGGCAGTGAAACATGGCCGGTAAGAGTAGAGGATATCCGTAGGTTACTAGTATGCGATCATAGGTGTCTTCGAAACATTGCTCGTATATCATGGGACCATCGAGTAAGTAACGCAGTTGTTAGGAAACGGGTACTAGGTAAGGATGGCAAATCAATTGATGAAGTGGTGAAACTTCATCAGTTGAGATGGCTGGGACACGTGTTACGTATGCCCAACGACCGACTTCCTCGATGTGCGATGTTTTGTTGTATAGGAGTAGATTGGAAGAAAGCTAGAGGCGGCCAGACGAAAACGTGGCACAAGTCCATGAAGTCACTGACAAGTGGACTGAGTCATGTTGGCAGGTGTAGACTACCTGGTTGGGGATCGCGAGATGATAGCAACCGATGGTTGGAGACCCTGAATGACATGGCTCAAAATCGTTTGCAATGGCGCAGGTGCATCCACTCTTTGTGTTCTCCCAAATTCTAATCTTCTGAATTCTTCATGTCCCTTTCTTTTTTCTCTTTCCAAATTTATTTCACTGGATTATACTCCTTGAATAACATCTTCGAGCCCTAGTTTTTTTCTGATTACAGCTCATAATTTTACTACATCTAGCACTGCGGGATTTGAACCGACCACTGCATCTGTGTGCTAATGTGGTGTGGCAACTCGAACTGATGTACGTACGTACGAAGTTCTACGTTGTTACTGACTGACTGAATGCTCTGTCACTATCGTAGAGATCGTTTGATAAGTTAATGTTACTAGCTATTTGAAGTATTTACTGAGGGGCATTACCTTAGTACTAAATAAAACGTTATGTTAGTACTAAATACGGTGTTAGAGTGATCTAAAGAGTTAACTAACAGGTTGATTTAACCTTTATGTGCACAGAATGAATTTTTTACGTTCGTAGTGATGCACTATCCCTCAAACAGTTAGATATCCCAATATACTTTTTTCTGTGTAAACAAATCATATGTTCCACCGAATAAGTCTGAGCATGTTATTCCTAAGATTTCTGTAACATTCTCTGTGGGAATTTCCACCTGGCCATGCATTTACTAACAGATCGTTTGTATTCATCTACAAACTAGTTACGAACATAGTTTACTCCTTCGATTGTTAACTCACTGAATTATAACTTTTAAAGCCTCATTTTTCATTCTGCTAATCCATTTAGATAGATAAAACTCCCATCTCTCAAGCTATTTATTCACTTCACGACATTTTCATTTACATGAATAGTATGATTGTTCTTTGAATACAATAGATCCTTCTTATTACAGTCACCTCCATTAAAATCGATAAGATATATGTATGTAGATTATTTTCACTACTTTGTAGACGGTAAATGTATATTTTAGGTAACTGAGTTCTCTGGGAGAATTCACCATCTGTCTTTATTATTATTATTTCAGCTTGTCATTTTCTTCTGACTTTCAATCTGTTACCTTCTAAAGAGTAAACTTGACCTCTGTTCTTGTTCAAATGGAAAAGGAAAACATGGACTCAAACAAACAAAGTTACTGTCCATAACAACAAAATGTCCTATAGGCACTTGATTAACTCTCCTATCCCAAAATTAATGGTATGTGGTTGAGCAAAACGGATGATCTTATTACATTCTTTAGTGCTGATTGACGTAACATGCTCAAAATTCCTGAAACAATGTCAATAAAGAAATTTAACTTGCCAGATTTTTCATATGGGGATGAGATTGATTATTATGCTGTATCACCAACAATATTGCAGTTAGATCACCAAGAGATCGTTGAAACAGACCATTCATCTGGCAATCGTCTATTGAATGGTGATTCAGTAACTGAGACAGCTACTACTAATTCAAATCTCGGTACGTATTGAACTATATTCAAACTGTTTATATTGGGATTTCTTTGTTGTTTGGTATTAACGCGTTGGTGGATAGGTTAATCCAGACAGAACAATACATAAATTAAATATTGTTTTACGTTCAAAACTGTTCAACAGATAAATGTTACCGTGTGATTCAAATGTACGGTGATAACCTTTTATTTACGGCAGGTACTAACTCCAAGCATAGTTAAAATGCTGACTTAATAGTCCTTAACTTTGACTCAACAATGAACTCAGATGAATCTTGTTTTTATCAGTTATTTTTGGAGAACATCAGTAAAGGATTAATTTTCTGGAGTTTACCTTTGGATTCTGGACTTGCAACGATAAAAATACATGTCTAGATCTTACTGGATTCATAAAAGTCGCAGTATACAGGCTTATTCAACTGAGTTTGGATTTGAAATCCAAGGGAGTAAATTTAAAGCAAAACTAACAAACTACCTAGTGAACATGAAAGTAATTTTCACAGTAAGATACCATGACATAATCTATAGGCAAGAAACATCAATGGTTTCTATAATCGACGTAGACCGAAAGGCCAGAAAATTGTACTTAATTAATATAAATACTCAAACTCACTATACTGAGCTTCGAATATGATGGACATCGAAAGTAACTTAAGTGTAGTGGTATATATACAGCGATCTTAAATAAAAAAATCAAAGGGGACGAAAAATCCGGCATTGTTTAAATCCATCAAATAGACTAGAGTTAAAATATCCGTTAGTAAAACTATGATGGAAAACGACAACAGTAATCCGTTTTTAATCTGGACGATTAAAATGACAAAAGATTGACGGATAGCCCATTTGGCCTCTAGCTACTTATAATCCAACGACTTGAAAAGATTATTAAAATTGGGTTTCCAAATCTTAGCGGCTATGAAAACTGTCGTAGCCTTCTTCCAATGTGATTCAGTATTTCATGTCTTTACAATTGTTTGATCACTTGATAGTGGTCAATGTCATGTGTGTAAGGTCCTTCGTAGTTCAGATCGAGTTCTATCGTATTTATTATTTATTTATTTATTTGAACACATAAATATTGGAACAAGAGGGCACCAAATATATATGCGCCACACAAAACAATGAGAATTCGAAGAAGAAAAAAACAATAACGAACAGATTAGTGTAAGGTAGTGTAATAATAACAATAACAATAATAATGGGGAAACGGAAAGGTACAACCAAAAGGAATCTTTCAGTTAAGGAAGATACAACCACTTTTTTAATGAAGAAAGTAGAAGAAGGGTACAGCAGGATCGCCACTGGCTTCTATTCTGCACCATATCTGGTAACGTCTCTAGCCACTGTGTCGCACCATCTCTAGGACCCCAGCCAGGGAGTCGTGAAGGACCAACACAAGCCAGCCCTTTGCAGCTTTCTTTCATACACCGACCCCTGAATGCCCTGGTACGGCCGAGAGTGGGGAGAGTCCGCTCTCCCTCTCGAAATACTCTCACACGGCCACGCGTATATAGCCTCTGCCAGGGAAGTCCTACTCATTGCCTTCTCGTGGCGGGGGTGTTGTTTACGAAAATGAGAGGACGAGAAGCGAATGTCCGGCGCTTTAACCGGATTCCAAACCAATGGTGCACATGGGCTCCAGTATCCTGCGGGAACGAATGGCGTATGAACCAATCGTTGGTCACCGGCTACCATGGGACTGCATCTCCTTACGATGCTCCACTGCCTTGTGGGTTAGACCTTTAGGTCAAAGGCTCGGGGAGTGGCCCCCTAAGATAACCACCTGCTTCGGTTTGGGCACCCGGGCAGTATCACAGCCCACACACAAATGATGAACTGTTTATGTCTATGGAAACTACTTTTGTCGCTTTGAAAAACAATCAATTGATTCAAATTATGATCACTTCAATTATTGTCATTATTAATACTAATATTATTATTACTACTATTATTGTCATTATTGTTATTATTATCATTATTATTATTATTTTCCACATTATTCACCTTCTTTTATACTTATACAGCGGCTCGTCTTTGGTGGAATTCCGACTGTATCTAAACGTTCTCGAGTCACTGTCCGGTTGAAAATTGTATGTTACCACCGAATACGAGGACTGAAGCAGATTTTCTGAAACCACGTGCACCATTCAAACTGGCTGCCTTCAACGTTCGCACATTTATGCAGGTCGGACAACAGATAGGGCTGGCTATGTCTTTGGAAAGTCTTAATATCGACGTGTGTTGTCTATCCGAGACCCGTATTCAAGACTCTGGCGAAGTACTACAAATTCGATCTCCATCTGTCGCTTCGAAAAGCTTGTTTTACGTGCGCTTATCCGGGGACCCTGTGGCATCTTCGTCTGGTTTTGCTGGCGTTGGTGTCGCACTAAGCGCTAGAGCTGAGGCAGCACTAGTCGATTGGATCCCCATTAACAGTCGGTTATGTGCTGTTAGATTAGAAAGTTCCATCAAAGTGAGAAGAAATCAGCGTGAGAAACGATGTCTTTTCGTCATCTCCGCCTATGCCCCGACAGATTGCAGCCCGGATGCAATCAAGGATGAGTTTTACCACCAGTTATCAGTTCTTCTCCAGAAAGTGCGTTCGACAGATATTGTAGTACTAGCCGGAGACTTGAATGCTCAGGTCGGGCGTCTAGGCACAGAAGAGAGTCGTTTAGGTGGCCGATGGGGACTCGTTGGTCGCAGGTCAGATAACGGGGACCGTCTACTGCAACTTTGCACAGACCACAACCTGTTTCTGGCTAGCACTAACTTTCGGCACAGTCATCGCCGATGCGCCACCTGGCGTCCTCCCTCTGCATCTCAAGCCTGGACTCAGATTGATCACATCGCGATCAGCTACCGCTGGCGTGGTTGTGTACAAGACTGCCGCTCCTTTTGGAGTACCTATCTGGACTCTGACCATGCCTTGGTCTGCGCCAATCTTGCCTTACTTTTCAGTGGACAACGAAGTGAACGCCATCAACGGATTGATGTTAGCAAGCTGGTTGCAACTTCTGTTGCAAGTAAGTATCGAACCGAGCTAGCCTCTAGGCTAGCTACCACTCCACCGAAAAGTATAGATGAGCATTGGTTGCAATTGCATGACGCCATGAAAATGGCGGGAACAGTCAGTTGTGGGTTTGCGAAACGTCCCGCTTTTAAGCACTGGGTTTCTTCTGGTTCCTTACAACTCATTGAAGCCCGTCGGTCTACTCCGGGTAACCGTGAGTTTGACCATAAACGAAGGTTTTTACGTAAGGAAATCGGGCAAAGCTTGCGTAAGGACCGAGAAGCCTGGTGGTCGACGCGTGCTAATGAGCTGGAAGCAGCAGCTGCATCTGGTAACTACCGGAAGCTCTTCCAACTCATCCGAGCCACTGGCAGCAAGAAGTCTGGTGTGAGCGAAACAATCTGCGAGGATGATGGGATGCCAATCACTAACATCCATCGACGTCTTGGACGATGGGCAGAATTTTTCGAAGGGCAGTTCAACTGGCCTGCTGCTCCGGCAACATCGGTCAGACTGTCCTGCCCTCCATGGCCGGTGACGACTGATCCACCAAATGAGGAGGAAGTCCGCAAGGAACTCCAACTCTTGAAGCGTTACAAATCACCTGGCCCAGATGACTTACCTCCGGCTCTTTTTAAAGATGGTGGTGACTTTTTGACTAAGGAATTGACGACGTTGTTTACAAAGGTTTGGGAACTAGAGAGTGTACCAACGTCATGGAATGAGTCGATAGTTGTCCCTATCTTTAAAAAGGGTTCACGTCGTTCTTGTAACAACTATCGGGGGATAAGTTTACTTCCGATTGCGTCCAAGCTATTGGCTTCCGTCATTCTTCGTAGGTTGTTCAAAACCCGAGAAAGATTGACTCGCGAGGAGCAGGCTGGGTTTCGTTCTGGTCGAGGATGTATTGATCATATCTTCACCCTCCGCCAAATGTTAGAACACCGCCATACTTTTCAAAGGCCAACAATCGTAGTGTTTCTTGACATCAGGGCTGCCTTCGATTCGTTGGATAGGACTGTTCTCTGGGATTGTCTATTGAAGAAGGGTGTGCCTGAGAAGTTTATTAACATCCTAAAAGCCCTGTATAAAAACACCTCAGGCAGAGTGAGGGCATACAACCACCTCTCTCCATTGTTCCATTCGAGCAGTGGGGTTAGGCAGGGTTGCCCAATCTCACCATTCCTCTTCAACTTTGCCATCGATGACATTCTGGAAACAGCTCTGATGAATGTAAGTAATGGTGGTGTGGATCTGTTGCCTGGAGAAAGACTTCTCGACCTTGAGTATGCGGACGATATTGTCTTACTGTGCGATAATGCTCAAGGCATGCAATCCGCACTTAATCAGTTGGCAATCAATGTCCGTAGGTATGGTATGTGCTTTGCACCTTCGAAGTGCAAAGTACTTCTACAAGACTGGCAGGATTCTAGTCCTGTACTCACTCTGGATGGTGAGCAGATAGACGTAGTTGAGAAGTTCGTGTATCTGGGTAGCTACATAAGTGCTGGTGGGGGTGTGAGTGATGAGATCAATGCACGAATAGTGAAAGCCAGAGCGGCTTATGCCAATCTGGGCCACCTTTGGCGCCTTCGTGATGTTAGTCTGGCTGTAAAAGGCCGGATCTACAACGCGTCGGTGAGAGCAGTTTTGCTCTATGCTTGTGAAACCTGGCCTCTCCGAGTTGAGGACGTTAGACGACTCTCTGTGTTCGATCATCGCTGTCTCCGAAGGATTGCTGACATTCAGTGGCAACACCATGTCAGTAATGCAGAGGTTCGGCATCGTGTGTTCGGGCACAGAGATGATAACTCAATTGGTGTCACCATCTTGAAACACCGACTTCGGTGGCTTGGACATGTTCTCCGAATGTCGTCCCAGAGAATTCCACGTCGTGCATTATTTGCCGACTCTGGGACTGGTTGGAAGAAGCGGAGAGGTGGTCAGTGCATGACATGGTGTCGTGGCATGAAAGAAAGCTGCAAAGGACTGGCTTGTGTTGGTCCTTCACGACTCCCTGGCTGGGGTCCGAGAGATGGTGCAACACAGTGGCTAGAGACGTTATCAGATATGGCTCAGAATAGAAGCCAGTGGCGATCCTGCTGTAACCTTCTTTTACTTTCTTCATAAAAGTGGTTGTATCTTACTTAACTGAAAGATTTCTTCTGATTGTACCTCTTCGTCATTACTCTCTTTTTCTTTTGCGTTCCTTAGTTTTTTTTTCTTTTTTTTTTTTCTTTCTACTTCTCTTCGAATTCCCATTGTTTTGTGTGGCGCATATATATTGGCGCTCTCTTGTACCAATATTTATGTGTTCAAATAAATAAATAAATAAATTCTCTGGGACGACATTCGTAGAACATGTCCAAGCCTCCGGAGTCGGTGTTTCAAGATGGTGACACCAATTGAATTATCATCTCTGTGCCGGAACACACGATGCCGAACCTCTGCATTACTAACATGGTGTTGCCACTGGATGTCAGCAATCCTTCGGAGACAGTGATGATCAAACACAGAGTCGTTTAACATCCTCAACTCGGAGAGGCCAGGTTTCACAAGCATAGAGCAGAACTGCTCTCACCGACGCGTTGTAAATCCGACCTTTTACAGCCAGACTAACATCACGAAGGCGCCAAAGATGGCCCAAATTAGCATAAGCCGCTCTGGCTTTCACTATACGTGAATTGATCTCACCAATCACACCACCACCAGCACTTATGCAGCTACCTAGATACACGAACTTCTCGACTACTCCTATCTGCTCACCATCCAGGGTGAGTACAGAATTAGGATCCTGCCGGTCTTGTAGAAGTACTTTGCACTTCGAAGGTGCAAAGCACATACCATGCCTACGGACACTGATTACCAACTAATCAAGTGCGGATTGCATGCCTCGGGCATTATCTCACAGTAAGACAATATCATCCGCACACTCAAGGTCGAGAAGTCTTTCTCCAGGTAACAGGTCCACACCGCCATTAATTACATCCATCAGAGCTGTTTCCAGAATGTCATCGATGGCAAAGTTGAAGAGGAATGGTGAGATTGGGCAATTCTGCCTAACCCCACTGCTCGAATGGAACAATAGAGAGAGGTGGTTGTATGCCCTCACTCTGCCTGAGGTGTTTGTATATAGGGCCTTTAAGATGTTAATAAACTTCTCAGGCACACCCTTCTTCAATAGACAATCCCAGAGAACAGTCCTGTCCAACGAATCGAAGGCAGCCTTGATGTCAAGAAATACTACGATTGTTGGCCTTTGATAAGTATGACGGTATTCTAACATTTGGCGGAAGGTGAAGATATGATCAAAACATCCTCGACCAGAACGGAAACCAGCCTGCTCCTCGCGAGTCAACCTTTCTCGGGTTTTGAACAATCTACAAAGTATGACAGAAGCCAATAGCTTGGACGCAATCGGAAGTAGACTTATCCTCCGATAGTTGTTACAGGAACGACGTGAACCCTTTTTAAAGATAGGGACAACTATCGACTCATTCCATGACGTTGGCACACTCTCTAGTTCCTAGACCTTTGTAAACAACGTCCTCAGTTTTTAGCCAGAAAGTCACTACCATCTTTAAAAAGAGCCGGAGGTAAGTCATCTGGGCCCGGTGATTTGTAGCGTTTCAAGAGTTGGAGTTCCTTGCGGACTTCCGCCTCGTTTTGTGGATCAGTCGTCACCGGCCATGGAGGGCAGAACGGTCCGACCGATGTTCCTGGAGCAGCAGGCCAGTTGAACTGCCCTTCGAAGAATTCTACCCATCGTCCAAGACGTCGATGGATGTAAGTGATTGGCATCCCATCATCCTCACAGATTGTTTCACTCACACCAGACTTCTTGCTGCCAGTGGCTCGGGTGAATTGGAAGAGCTTCCGGTAGTTACCAGATGCAGCTGCTACTTCCACCTCACTAGCACGCTCCGTCCACCAGGCTTCTTGGTCCTTACGCAAGCTTTGCCCGATTTGATTACGTAACACCCTTCGTTTGTGGTCAAACTCACAGTCACCCGGAGTAGACCGACGGGCTTCGATGAGTTGTAAGGAGCCTGACGAAATCCAGTACTTATAATCGGGACGTTTCGCGAACCCACAACTGCAATTGCAATCACTGCTGACCCATGCTTTTCGGTGGAATGGTAGCTAACCTAGAAGCTAGCTCGATTTGATACTTACTTGCAACAGAAGTTGCAACCAAGTTGCTGACATCAATCCTTTGGTGGCGGCCACTTCGTTTGGCCACTGAAAAGTAAGGTAAGATTGGCGCAGACCAAGGCATGGTCAGAGTCCAGATAGGTACTCCAGAAGGAACGACAGTCTTGTACACAACCACGCCAGCGGTAGCTGATCGCGATGTGATCAATCTGAGTCCAGGCTTGGGATGCTGAGGGAGGACGCCAGGTGGCGCATCGGCGATGACTGTGCCGAAAGTTAGTGCTAGCCAGAAACAGGTTGTGGTCTGTGCACAGTTGCAGTAGACGGTCCCCGTTATCTGACCTGCGACTAACGAGTCCCCATCGGCCACCTAAACGACTCTTCTGTGTCTAGACGCTCGACCCGAGCATTCAAGTTTTCGGCTAGTGCTATAATATCTGTCGAACACACTTTCTGGAGAAGAACAGTTAACTGGTGGTAAAATTCATCCTTGATTGCAGCTGGGCTGCAATCTGTCGGGGCATAGGCGGAGATGACGAAAAAACATCGTTTCTCACGCCGATTTCTTCTCATTTTGATAGAACTCTCTAATCTAACAGCACATAACCGACTGTTAATGGGGATCCAATCGATTAATGCTGCCTCAGCTCTAGCGCTTAGTGCGACACCAACGCCAGCAAGATCAGACGAAGATGCCACAGGGTCCCTGGATAAACGCACGTAAAACAAGCTTTTCAAAGCGACAGATGGAGAGCGAATTTGTAGTACTTCACCAGAGTTTTGAATACGGGTCTCGGATAGACAGCAAACGTCGATATTAATACTTTCCAAAGACATAGCCAGCCCTATCTGTTGTCCGACCTGCATAAGTGTGCGAACGTTGAAGGCAGCCAGTTCGAATGGTGCACGTGGTTTCAGGAAAACTGCTTCAGTCCTCGTATTCGGTGGTAACATACAATTTTCAACCGGACAGTGACTCGAGAACGTTTAGATAGAACCGAGTTTCCACCATAGGCGAGCTACTGTATAAGTCGAAAAGTAAAGATAGACAGAGTGGGAATTAAAGAGAGTGAATAAATGACGTAGTAAATAATAATAATAATAATAATAATAATAATAATAATAATAATAATAATAATAATAATAATAATAATAATAAGTATATTAATAATAATAACGATAATAATAATAATGTGAATCGTTTGATTGTTGATCGAAGCAAGACAAGTATTTTCCATAGATATCGACATTTCATCATATCTGTGTGTGGGCTGTGATACTGCCCAGATGCCCAGACCGAAGCAGGTGGTTTTCTCAGGGGGCCACACCCCGAGCCTTTGACCTGAAGGTCTGACCCACAAGGCAGTGGAGCATCGTAAGGAGATGCAATCCCATGGTAGCCGGTGACCAACGATTGGTTCATACGCCATTTGTTCCAACATGATACTGGAGCCCATGTGCACCATTGGTTTAAGATCCGGTTAAAGCGCCGGACATTCAGTTTTCGTCCTCTCATTTTCGTAAACATCTCCTACGTCACGAGAAGGCAGTGAGTAGGACTTCCCTGACAGAGGCTGTATACGCGTGGCCATGTGAGAGCATTTCGAGAGGGAAGGCGGGCCCACCCCATTCTCGGCCATACCAGGGCATTTGGGGGCGGATAAATCTTTTGCCTTTTACTAAAGAGTTCTATCGACCAAGTTGCAATGCGTCTACTAGCCTAGGTGACTTGACATTTCGTGGATTATGTTGAGACGCGATGATGTTTGGAGGTGGTCGACAGAAAACCCTGGATCTAGGTTTCGTGCTATTTGGCACTCATCAGTAAGATGTACCTGTAATATATATATATATATATATATATAGCTAGATGCTACTGAAAAATTTGAATCGGATGACGCAAGTATGAACACTAAGGCCATAGATAGAGATGTGTTTGACAACCAAAATAAATAGGAATGTCATCTGAATACACTGATTTTTATATGACTTACACTGATCACTAGTCATATTTAAATACATTAGACCGAGTGAGGCTTTTCACTGATTAATCAATATCAAATAGAAATTTAAAGCATAATTGTCAACGCGAAGAATTTAGAAAGATAAGGAAGAGAAAACAAACTTGGTTCATTGTCTTTGATACGCATCCATATTATATTATTTATTTTTTTAACACGTGTTTGTTTTCTCTCCTTTTTACCTTGGTATATTTTTTAATTTAATCATTAATTTACTGAATAATCATTAATCTCACTCAAAACAATTCCTTACTCATCATATCGAGTGACTATTATGATTTTTTCACTTAGATTTAGGATTAAATAAAGAAGCTGATTATCTATTCTCATTTGAATTAGATACTAATACACTTCCGTTAGAATTATTGAATAAAGATTTAGATACTCCAGATTTTAATTGGACAGATTTATTACCCGACTCCAATGAATTAGTATCTCTGGACGATATTAATCCTGGTAATTTTTCAAAATCTAAACAAATTAAAAATGAGAAAGTGAAGTTTACCAATTGTCAAAGAAAATCTTTGATGAATCATTTTAATCCAATACCAAAGTTTTCATATCAAGAGAAAACTATTCAACAACAAGAACTTTTATATTCATCATCATCAGCTCATAGTTCTTCAAGTTCTGTCATTAACCATTATCATTGTCACCAATTGTTGAATTCAACGGAAATTAATAATGAGTGTGATATGAATGATTCTTATAAAACTAATAAAATAATTTGTCTAAATAATGAAGATTTACTAAATGGTAAACCTGTGAGTATTAGAGTTTGTTCGTTTGTTTGTTTTATTTCTCATTCAGTGTTTAATTTTTTTTCATATGAGCAATAAATTTGTCAGTCATAAACAGTTCAGAAACAGGTACGAATATGCATGGATATAAGTCGTTGTACTTGGGATTAGTGCAATCAGATTTTTATTAAGAAGATAAATAGCAAATTAGTCAAAATCGTAGTACTATCAGGAACAGGATGAAAGGTTAAATACTAAAAATGTGATTAAAAATAAGGAATGGATTTGTTGAATATAAAGTATAAAATTATGTTATGACTAAAAGTCTCTAACAAAACAAATAGTGCACCTTTGTCATTGTTACTGATTACGAGCCATGTAACTTTTCTCGAACTTCTGGTCAATGTTATAACAAGGACTTCAACCAGGTAATGATCATCTGATAGCATAGGTTAGACCAACAGTTAATTATTTCATGGACGAATACAAAGTCTTGGTTTGACTACTGCCAGTTTTATTACAATCTGCTCGTGAACCAGCCATCATTCCATTGTAAGGCAGATAGTGGTTCGTAAAGCGTAACACATATCTTACTGGGTTTTTTTTCTATTAATATGTGAAGCAATACGATTTGATTAAATTTTTAATAATGTTACTTGGCTAAGCCCTGTATCACTTTGTCTTTTTGCAGTTCCAAGCTAATGGAACTTGTCGCAACGCTAATTCCATTTCCAAGTAGACATTTCAACTCTTATTTTCTCTTAATCTGAGTTATGTTATTACTTCGAATCTATTTAGACTCTTTTAAGTTGATTATTTTCGTAGGTTTAATTCCACTACTAATACTATCAGTTCAGCAAACACTGCACATTAGAATAATCCGTTGAAGTGTATGCGTAGCACATTCATCAGTCTTATCAGTCGGCATAGATTCACGACCTTGTTAAATGTTTTGTTTCTCTAATATTAGTCACTCGTTTGTTCTATCACTTGCTACGAACGATTTCTTAAATAACTCATTTTGTTGTCAACTTGGCTATCATTTGACCTATTGCGTAGTTATTTATGACAATTCTTATCCCTACTTATTCATTTCACAGGGAGAATGCGTTAAATTAACTTCAGAAGAATATAAAATGCTCCAAAGAATCGGTTGTCAACTACCTATCAAATTTCCATTAAGTCAAACTAATGAAAAAGCAATACGTACTGTCAGACGAAAAATTCGTAATAAACTCTCTGCTCAAGCTAGTCGTGCCAAACGTCAAAGGTATGTAATTGACTTGGAACGTCGGTATTCTATGTGTACTGAAGAAATCAAACAATTACGTCGACAAGTATATGAATTGGAGGAAGATAAACGGTAATTCTTTTAAATAATCAATTAATATGTGTTAGTATACGGAGTTTTCGGATATCACTTAATTTTATGGTTCACATCATGTTCTGACCTTGGTTAGACAACCACCGGAAAAAGAGCTGTAAATAGCCGTTCTGTCGTAGCATAATCCTCCTCCGCATTGCGCATCCACGACCATACTATACATCTGACTCAGGACCTACAGTTTTACCGGCGAACCACTGAGCAGGTGATGTAGTAGGACGATTGTGAACTGGTTGAATTTTCAGTTTCATCTCATTAAACTCTAATGGTCAAGCGCTCACCGTGAAACTTGTGGGTCCTGATTGTGCATTATTGAAAAGTTTCATACTAGAACGAAACAGTTGTCCGGTGCTCTCTGGTTTTGACTGGTTGTCTAACTAAGGTCAGTCGGTGATGTAATCAATACGTATGCTTCAAACTATTTGCGCATTTAATTCTTTTGACACCTTTCTGGAGATACAATATCCAGAAAACAGGCCTACCAGTCAAGTCGTAATTGATTAGAGAATGAATGACCTAAAAGCTAATGTCCTCCGATCACCCATGGCATTTCATCATGTTTATTTTGTGTTCTTTTTTTCATATAAGCGTGTTATTTTATTGAATGAAAAAAGCTGTTTATCTGGCTAGTAGTAGTCTTGTCTTTGATTTATAAATTATTCGGGGACGTAAGTCAATAATGCGGTCTCGTCAGTAGCCATCATTCATCACATTATATTATTGTGTTCATCTATCGATTAGCATTTTATACATTGATTTTAACAATCGAAAGTTTCTTCTAGTCGAATCACAAAAAACCTCCATAACGTTGGGTCATTTTGTGTGATGTTCAATTGATTTAAAATCTATTGTGTTATTATAAAACATAACTATAGGCAGAAGAAAAGTATGTTTATTGCGAGAAGCTACAAAATATTTACATAATACATATACGTCCCGACCGAAGCTGCTACCTTGACGCGGTGGTCGAGCTTGCCTATCGTGATGACCCAACCGAGCTATATTGGCTGGAACATATGTTCCTATAGGTTCTACCATGCCAGGCAGGTCGATCGGAGAACGGTAAGACTAAACGCAGCAACTCAAGGTCTGAGGGAGAAGTCGTACTGCTGACTGTAGAGGGGACAGTCAGTCAGTAACAACGTAGAACTTCGTACATACGTACATCAGTTCGAGTTGCCACACCACATTAGCACACAGATGCAGTGGTCGGTTCAAATCCCGTAGTGCTAGATGTAGTAAAATTATGAGCTGTAATCAGAAAAAAACTAGGGCTCGAAGATGTTATTCAAGGAGTATAATCCAGTGAAATAAATTTGGAAAGAGAAAAAAGAAAGGGACATGAAGAATTCAGAAGATTAGAATTTGGGAGAACACAAAGAGTGGATGCACCTGCGCCATTGCAAACGATTTTGAGCCATGTCATTCAGGGTCTCCAACCATCGGTTGCTATCATCTCGCGATCCCCAACCAGGTAGTCTACACCTGCCAACATGACTCAGTCCACTTGTCAGTGACTTCATGGACTTGTGCCACGTTTTCGTCTGGCCGCCTCTAGCTTTCTTCCAATCTACTCCTATACAACAAAACATCGCACATCGAGGAAGTCGGTCGTTGGGCATACGTAACACGTGTCCCAGCCATCTCAACTGATGAAGTTTCACCACTTCATCAATTGATTTGCCATCCTTACCTAGTACCCGTTTCCTAACAACTGCGTTACTTACTCGATGGTCCCATGATATACGAGCAATGTTTCGAAGACACCTATGATCGCATACTAGTAACCTACGGATATCCTCTACTCTTACCGGCCATGTTTCACTGCCGTAAAGTAGGACGGAACGAACTGCTGCGCAGTAAACCCGTCCTTTGGTTGATAGACGGATATCTCGCCTACGCCATAAATGACGCAAGTTGGTAAAAGCTAGTCGAGCCTTGTGTATCCGTGCTGAGATTTCGTCACACGCCAGACCACAAGGGCTGATGAGACTTCCAAGATAAGTGAGGCGATCGACACGCTCAACTACTTCACTCCCTATCATTAGTTCGGGTGTCAATGCAACCCAATCCTGAAGCAACATTTTGCATTTCGAGGGAGAGAATCGCATCCCGAACATGCTTGTATTGTTGCTTAGAGTGGTCAGAAGACTCTGCATTTTGTCAGCGTCTTCGCCAAATAAAACTATGTCATCCGCATATTCCAAGTCAACAAGTGAACCTCCCGGTAGAAGTTCAACCCCTGGAAATCTAGACGAGGAAAGTGTCATCTCTAAAAGTACGTCGACCACAAAGTTGAACAAGAATAGAGAGAGTGGACAGCCCTGATGAACACCACTTGAGGTAGTCAGTTCTGATGACAGTTCGCCATAAGCTCTCACTCGACCAGTTGTGTTCGAGTAGAGAGCCTTTATAAGGTTAATGTACTTCTTTGGTACTCCTTTCAATGACCAACACTGCCATAGAACCTCACGATCAACAGAGTCGAATGCCGCCTCAAGGTCGAGAAATACTACGATTGTGGGGCGTCTGAATGTGTGTCTGTGTTCTAGAACCTGACGTAATGTGAATATGTGGTCTATACAACCACGTCCAGGTCGAAAACCAGCCTGATTTTCTCTAGTCTGCTCTTCACGAGCTTTAGTTAGGCGTCGAAGTATTATTGAAGCTAAAATTTTAGACACTATATTTGTCAAACTGATTCCTCTGTGATTGTCACAAGAGGACTTTTGTCCTTTCTTATAGACTGGCACAATCAGTGATTGAAACCAGTCAGATGGGATTACGTCCAGTTCCCAAATTCTACCTAAGACCTCAGTTAATCTCATTGCTAATACTGGACCACCATCCTTAAAAATCTCAGGAGTAAACCTGTCAGGGCCTGCTGCTCTCCCTCGATTCAGATTTCCTATGGCTTTTTCAACTTCGTAAAGGGACGGAGGACCTACATTAGCTTGCCATTCAGGTTGACTAGAGATCGTGGGAAACCGAAGTGTGGCTGAAGGCCAGTTGAACTGATCCCTAAAGTATTCTGCCCATCGATCCAATCTCCTGGATTGAGAATGAATAATATGTCCATCTTTCTCTGAGATTGTATCGCTAACGGTCGGGTTCCTAATTCCGGTTTCCTTAACGAGTCTGAACAATTGTCTGCTATTACCTATTGCCGCTGCCTTTTCCATCTCTCTTGCTTTCGCTACCCACCACTGTTCACGGTCATTGCGTAGACTTCTTTTCAGCTTGCGCTTAAGCTGACTCCGCTCTTCATTATGTTCAGAGCCAGGTGGAATGAGTTTCCGAGCATCTATCAGTGCGATAGATGCTGCTGAGATCCAGTGTTGCTCCCTAACCTTCTGGTTTACCTTACTAGCAGATATCACTGCTGTTTCCACGGCTTTTCGGATATCTTTCCATGCTGCCTCGGGGTGGGCATCACCTATATGACTGCCTAACTGTTTTCCTAGTTGTTCCTGAAATATACTCTTAGCTTGACTATCATTAAGTAGGCCCCTAAGAGGTTTCCTTACAGCGTCTTTCCTACGTCCAGTAAGACGCAGACAGATACGCGCTCGTACTAGAGCATGATCTGAATCTAAGCATGTGCTCCAGAATGAGCGACAGTCTTCTATCGAGCCCCTCCATCGGTGGCTGATAGCGATGTGATCTATTTGGGTCCAACGTTGGGACGAATTAGGGGGTCGCCATGTTAAAAGATGTTCATCCTTATGCTTAAAGTTAGTATTTGCAAGGAGCAGGCGGTTATCTGAGCATAGCTGTAACAGACGGTCGCCATTATCTGTTCGTTGAGCCACGATGTTATTAGACCCACCCAGGTGTCTTTCCCTATCGCTTAGTTTACGTACTTGAGCATCAAAGTCACCAGCCACTATTACTACATCAGTGCGCCTAGCTTTTCGGAGAAGGTCCGAGAGCTTTCTGTAAAACTCATCTTTTACATCATCTGAGCTGCAGTCAGTGGGAGAATAGGCAGAGACGATGAAGAGGCAACGACGAGTGTCCCTATCTTTCCGAGTCCTTACTGTTCCGTTCAGTCGGACAGCGCACAAACGACTGTCTGCTGGGATTTACTCTAAGAGAGCTAGTTCTGCCCTAGAACTCAATGCTATACCTACACCGGCGAGGCCACGGGAAGCAGAATCTGGGCTTCCAGATACACGAAGTGTGAATCGAGTTGGTTCTTTATTTTGGCATGGTGAGGTCAAATGAATGACCCTACTGCTGTCACACCTCTCTACAGTCAGCAGTACGCCTTCGCCCTCAGACCTTGAGTTGCTGCGTTTAGTCTTACCGTTCTCCGATCGACCTGCCTGGCATGGTAGAACCTATAGGAACATATATTCCAGCCAATATAGCTCGGTTGGGTCATCACGATAGGCAAGCCCGACCACCGCGTCAAGGTAGCAGCTTCGGTCGGGTTAACAATGCGTAATTACAACAGTATTATAATTATCTACTTCAGAAATTTCATACAACATTCTTGTGTCTATTAACCATAATTGGTAGTAATAAATTTTGATCAAGCTGAAATTAAAACATTCTGGTTCAAGATAACAAATCACTAGTTAATTAAAAAATTAAAATGATTGAAATAATTCTATTAGGTGCTATATAATTGTTTACCATCAATCATAACTATCGTATTACACAATCTATTCTACTAGTTGAGATTTTTTCAAATCGATTGTGAACATGTTGATCACAAATGCTGTTAGGAACATAAAAGCGGTTGTTACTATGCAGTCGCTTAAGCAGTAGAAAAGTATTTCTTATTGAATTACCTATTATAGAAACTTTGTTAAAAATGGTCTTAAAAATCTGGAGAAATGATTATAATGCTTAAATATCAACTGCTTACGGTTGATTACAAATGGTCTGTTTGTGAGTAGTTTTAGATGATATTATTTCATACATACAGAAAAATTCAAATTGATTTGAGGTATATTATATTTAAAACTAATCTATTCTAACCCCATAATTCTGTTGTTAAAAGACAACAAAGCTACAAATGTTAGTTGTTATGGAAAAACTTATTACTATGATCACAACTCTGAACAATCAGAATTTCCACTTTGTTCTCTAATTATATATTTGTTCCTTTTTATCTTAGTGTTCTTTATCTAAGCTACCTATCATGATAGAGTATAAAGAAACAAGTATCGCATCTTGCTTAAATACAAAAAGCTGGTTACATAACTAAACTTCCAACATCAATTTTTCTATTCCTTTTTATTATCTACCTTAAAGTTTAGAATTTATCTGAAGAGAATGAGTTTAATGAATCATTGGAATCTTATTTGAATATTAAGTAATGTTAGTAGTTATGGAAAAACTTATTACTATGATCACAACTCTGAACAATCAGAATTTCCACTTTGTTCTCTAATTATATATTTGTTCCTTTTTATCTTAGTGTTCTTTATCTAAGCTATATATATATATATATCAACAAGATATTTGTTTTTTTTCTTTTTGTAAAAAGAGATTAAATGAGTTAAAAAATCTGTTTTCTTATAAAAACAAAAACCATCATTAACTACTACAAATAAATAAGTAGATTTTGCAGTAAGGTGTTTCCCTCGGACAACCAGCATCTGCAGCGATGCTGCCTTCCCACAAGGAGGGGTGGGGTTAGAAAAGTTCGACCCTAAAAATGTCACACCTCACCTTACCTCACGGATTTCCGTCTCCGGCGGTAATGCCCTTTGAAGAACGGAGCTAACACATCAAAAACCTTCCACGAAAAGGCCGTGCGCGACCGGCCTCAAGCAGTTGTCCCTTGTGCTCTGCGGTCACGCTCCCAGGTCGTTAAGACCAACACTAATCCGACTTCTTTTTGAGGTTCCTCAAGAAATACCCGGGAAGTGATATCAGCCCTCATACCCGTAACAGCGCACGAATACATATACGTAGTCTTCAATCTTCCATTTGTACCTTGTGTTGTGTTCTGCCATCTGAACTGCTTTCTCGTCTGGTTTCCAAGTGTCGTGCAAACGCCGTTCTTCCTATGTACTAAAATTCTTCACAACTGTTGCAATTTCGACGCCACGTTCAACTACACATTATCTACAAACATTCATGTGATTAGCATCCACTACGTTATTACTATTCTTCACTATTTTTTTTAGAAAATATCTAACTAGTGTTTCAGATTAGAAAGATTAATTGTATGTATGTTTTTTAAGCTAACAACCACTTATGATTGAATTGGTTATTCACTGTAAAGTAGTGCTTTGTCGTTTGATAAGTTGTACAGTGAATGTGTTATCAATTTAGTAAACTAAACACGATAGACCATTTAAATTCATTTGGGCCTTTTATTTCACTACATCTGTTTCATTTTTTCCAGTTTTACATTACTTCTCATAATCCTGTTTATTTAGAATTGTAATTGTAATCGCTAGTAAGTCTGTATGAAAAATGATTAGACTAAAAATGTTAACTCATCTTAAATAGTACCCAAACATTTAGAAAATATCTGTCTTTAAAACTAACTTAAAATATCAGAAGCTGGCACCCACTGTTTGAAAAATCTCCTAGCCAGTTTAACGCATATATATGATGTAGATGGACTTTATCTAGAGTATAATCAAGGGATAAGTTTTGTCACCAACGGAATGGCTTCACCAAGGTACATTCGTTGTGATATTTCAATGCTAGCTGGACACTTGGATGTGTAGGTTTGGCGTCTAGACACAGTGAAGCATCATTTGACTGACCGATGTGGGTATTTTTCGGTTAGATGACAGAGAATATGTTCTGTAGCCTTGTAGAGAATAAAGAAATGTTTCTAGATAGCATTAAGTTTTGATGCAACCTGGAGATATCTCTCTGAAATTCAGACTTAGATCCAAATAAATCTTAAAGAATTGAACAATCGTCGAAATGTAAACCTACTATCACTTGACTATGAAGTATTGTCTGGGCTATGCTACGTAAATTATGCAAAATGTACATAAACAAATGATTCACAAGATATAGAGCAGGTTTTTTCAGGTTGTAAGTGTAGATTGATCCGTTAAGCACTTAAATCCAGTCACAAGTAATCTATGCCGAAAAGATATTGCTTGAGCATAATAAAAGCTGATAGTCAAGCATCCACTCCAGGGACCTAAGTAACAACAGTGACCCTGATCTCTTCCCCTAAGACTAGGTGGAAAAAATAAGGCGGTGATCAATTTGATGTGTGCCATAAATCTGCGCAATACAAAGTAGTTATGTTGGGTTATAGACTCCGTCGAATTTAGAATTTCAGACTTTAGGGGAGACAAAGGACGGATGCGCCTGCACCATTGCAAACTATTTTGAGTCATATCATTCATAGTCTCTAACTATCGGTTACGATATTCACGCGTACCCCAATCAAGTAGTTTACAGCTATGAATATGGCTAAGTCCAATTGTCAACGACTTCAGAAATTAATGTCATGTTTTGGTTTGACCGCCCCTAACTTTCTTCCAACCTGCTCCTACACCAGAAAACATAGCCAGTCAAGACAGGCAGTGGTTGGACATACGTAACACATATCCCAACCACCTCAGTTGATGAAGATTTACTACCTTATCAATCGAATTCCCACCTTTACTTAGTACTCTATTCCTAACTCTGGCATTGCTTACTGTATGGTCCCAAAATGCACGAGCAATGCTTCGTGGACACCTATAGAGTGTTATTCCTCAAAGTATATCTGTAACGAAGTTAAATAAAAATGGGGAAAGCGGACAACTCTGTCGAACACCACTTGAAGTAACTGATTCCGATGAAAGTTTACCATAAAATCTGAATCGACTAGTAGTGTTTGAGTAGAGAGAGTCTGTACAAAGTTGATGTACATGTTTTGTACACCTTTGAATGAAAAACACTGCCACAAAACCTGAAAATCAACGGAGTCAAACACCACCTTAAGGTCAAGGATTACAGCTATAATCGGACGTCGAAAAATATCTCTATTTTTCAAAACCTGCCGAATGGTGAATATTATGTGTGTATATATAAACTCTCAAACTAATTTCTCCCTAAATTTTTATCTCATATTCATTCGTGACAATTTTTCCTGTGCAACATTTATCTGAAATTATCTAACAGAAAATTTCCATCCAGTCATAATTTTATCATCTTCACCAGCATATAATCGGTTTTATTTAATGATTGTTTACCTTTCTTTTTACGTTTTCGATCCATAAAGCAAATCATAGTTATAAATACAAACAAATTTGTCAAACACTATTTAATTTCTGTTCTTTTTTCTCATATTTCCACTTGACAAACAGTCGATAAAATTAATGCAGTGCACATATTGTTAAGTCACTTAGACTAGTGGGCAGATTGCAACTTGATCGATAGAATCTGACCAACCCTAAAGGACTAGACAAGCATGATATTAATCACCACTCACTTCTACATACCTATGCATAAAATTGTGATGATTGGTGATTGAAAGTAGTCGACAGCATCTCTTACTTCATCTAGGTTTCATGCTAGTTGAGGCTTGTAAGCAAATGCTTTTATTAAGTGCAATAATTCTGATCAATTCAATTATGAGATTTATTTACTTTTAAAGGTAATTTATTATCATGAACTGATATCAAATAATGAAAACACATGAAAAACCTGAAATTATTGAATAACCTCTGTTGTCATTCGAATTTAAGACCATTCTTTCCGTATACTTAGTTTTATATTTGAATGTTGCTAATGGATAAAATGGTTCTTTTCTACTGCTTAAATTGTTGTAGACGTAATAAATTTGTAATTTAGTGATTGACTGTACTGACTATCGGAGAAGGAGGCAAGGGAATAGAAACTATACAAGTCAAGCAGTTCTTTTTTCATGTGAATCAGTTTATGTATTTTTATATACATATTTCTCAAACATATAATTGGTTTATGATACAGTTCTACAGTCTTAGTTCTAAGCATTGTTTTGCGACCCTTCATTCTTAATATTTCTCTTAGTACTGTCCACAAATTGCAGTTAATCAGATATGAGTGAATCGCTCATATTCGTGTAGTGTTTGATGCATACATACATATTTTGATTCATTAATAGCATATCCCATAGCTTGGAATCTAAGTATGTAATCACTTTTTGAATACTTAGTGTACTCTAGAGCAAATATTGCTCATCGGAAGAACGTATCCAAGGTCGATGAAAGTCAAAAGACTCTCTTCACCCATCGAAATATTTATATATGAACATATATAAATAGTAAATAGTTCTACAATTAATAATGGTTAGTTTAGGTTACAAAGAACACATTCAAAGTGATAAACTCAGTAGAAACAGTCTACTCTTGGCTCTGACAATTCAGTACATCCGAACGGGTGAAGCTTATCAACCAATAAGAGAACAATCAGTTTATAATTAACCGAAGAAATCAGACTAGTTACTCATGAATACTAGTCATAATAAGCGAATCACACCACCATCCATTTAACTTTAAGATGTTCTGATTAATAAATTTTGTAATGTATAAATTACTTATATTTGAAGCTGTCGACCCTAACGTTTACGGTAATCGGCTCAATGGAATTGTTAATTATATAAGTGTGACATTGCAACACTTAAGCATTTTATTTTACAACTGGTTATTTAATGTAATTTTTGCGTTTGTTTTTGCTTTTCTCTACTTTATATCAGGAGTCTTACAATACATCTACGCAAATTACGGTCTTATATCAATAAATTCATGAATAAACGAAGTGAACAGTCCTATTTACCACTATTCGTGAACTCCAACAATACTGAATTTAATAATAATAATAATAATAATAATAATAATAATAATAATAATAATAATAATAATAAGGTGACTGCTAAACAAGCCGCTAAAGCGGCAGCCGGTGGGACTAGTCTCTTGTTAATGACGTTTATGATATTGATGTGGACTGCTGTAGTTCCAATACCGTCGGTCATAAAAACGTTAGATACTGCATCATCGATGTCTACAAGAAATTTCTTCAGTTCATTTCCAGGTTAGCATTCAATTTTATTATGTGTGCATATTTGTGTGTTTTTTGTCTTGCCTATTCGTAATGTATCTTCATTACCTATTGTCTCATCTGTTTTGAGATAAATGTGAAGTGATCAATGATGATTAGCTATTGAGTCACCAGCTTGAACTTAAGTTGCTTCATTCAATTCGGATTTAAATTGTCGGTTAGTATCACTTACTCGCAAACCAATTATGTGTATAAATATATTTACAACAGCCTTAATAATGAGGTCAAAACCAGTAGTATATTAAAGAATTAACAAAACTAGCGAAGAAAAATATTTTAGAAGTTGGCCGCTAGGGTGAAGTACGCATAGTGTGAGAACATATGGTTGTGAGAAACCCCTCAATATAATACAAACAAATTACCAAAAAGTTATATGGTATAACTTGATTTTGTAAATTTCCTCGCTTCCCCAACTAAAAGCGCTTATTATATATGTATATATATTTGAAAGCTCGTAAACCTTTAATGTAGTAAAGTTTAATTGAGTGGTTTTTAGGTCGGCTTCAATGTAAAACTGACAATAGCTAAAGCAAAACTAGAAAGTATTGAACATATGCTATTGTATCATATGCTCGGTACTTTTCAACAATTCATACCGAAGTCAACGGCTTTGTATGATACAATCAAAGTCATAACTTTCAGTACTTATAGCACCGACAATACTTCTTAGTTATCGAAACCCGTTAGATTCTACATTTTTAATTCTTATTAATTCGGTGATATATGATACGGCTTTCATTTAGTATCATTAGTACTCTTTACTGTCTCACTTATTAATTGGTTAACTTCGCAGATCTTGACACGCCACTACAATTCTGTGAGTGGAGTGGTGGCTCAGTGTTTAAGGCATTCAACTTCCAGTCACTAAGGTGTGATTCCGAATACCACTCCACCTACTTCGGTTTGCACAACCCGATAATATCACTCAGCCTTGACATCAGAGTGATTGAATGTAAATTACACTAATTTGTACCTACTTTTCTTATTAAGGTGGCAGGTATATCATCTATGTAAACTTCCTTTTTGTTTGGAATGCTGTTGACAAGAAACGGAAGGAATTAATCGCTCAAGATTCTTTTGTGAGCCAAAAAGGATAAGTGTATTCATTACACTTTTATATATTCCATTGTATCGTAAAAAACAGCAAAAAAAACTATGGAATGTGGGAATACACGACTAATCCACCTTAACTTACTGAGAAAATTACATCTATTTACTTTCATAATTTGTTTCAATGTATGTGAATGATGATATCACATTCAAATCTATCCGTTAATCAGTTTATAAACAGCTAAATACACACATACATGAACTTTGGATAAGTTTAGCTTCACGTTCTCAAATAATCTCAACAGCAGATTCAATTATCTAAGATTTATTGACACCTTCAATAAGTATTTTTCAGTTGTTTTTTTCTCCAAGAATAATAACTAATAATATACATGTATTTTTGTTGTTTTCTTTTAACCATCTAATTAGGTCGGTCTCGAATGTTGATGAGTATTAACAACCCTCCAGAATTGTATTCTTCCTCCTCCTCGTCTTCTCAAGACCTAATACTTAATGAATCAAAAACAACTTTATCCAATCCGGATATTACACCTGAGAATACAATTCAATATATTGTTCCGATTAGTAAGTTTATTACATCAGTGGTAAGTGATTTTTTATTCGTGTTTATTATGTTTTGTTTCTTTTTTTACGAGAAAATCATGAGTTTAATGTTTAATGCTACTTAAGAATTTGTCTTCGTCGTCTCTATTGTTTTGAAGTTATTCAATCATTGCGATAGTTAAACCTGATTGTTGTATACTACACTGTATACAACTATGAAGTGGCGTAGAACCGTGATGAGGGAAAAAAATATGGATAGCTTTTTCTACCGGTGTTTCCGAAGTTTTTAATGTATCTATGCAGCTGTTGTGTCTTGTTATTGAGGTTCAGTACGGCCTATGATGTTATGGATTTAGGAACAAAAACGATTGAGTTCCTCTAATACGATTGGTTCTCTTTGGAACTGACAACAATCAATTATACTCAACACATCAAACCTCGACGGCTAAGACAGGAAGAAGACGATATGCGGGTAACTTGACATTTGTGGTAGAACAAGCAACTCAAACAAAATTGGTACAAAAGTTGTTACTATATTAGCAGAATATGACCTTCGAGTATGTAGCAGCTTATCGAACTAAAAAAACATGGCAACCAGTTAGAGGGCAAAGGTCATACGGAAAATCGAGTGGGCAGAAATTATCGTTCCACAACAGATCTTAGCCTTTCTAAGAAAATCTGACTATTCGTGCAACCGCCTTAGCAGTAGCGTAAGAATCACATAGCTAACGTTTTCATTAAGCGATAAATTTTAAGATCATCCGTTAATTTTTTTAATCGTTTATGAACTGCACAATGATTCAGAACTTTAATCAATTTGGAAATAATGGCCATCATCATGAAATAATATTCTATGCACATTTCAATGTGATTGGCTTATATTCATGTATCGTTTATACATATTAAGTAGTTTAGTTTGTTAAGTATGTATTTTATGTAAGACTATTTGCTTTTAACTGTTTTGCATTAATTATCAAGCAATTAAGTTTAAGTTTGGCCTATTCTATCTTAAATATTCTACAGTCTAAATGATTATTACTTTCTTCATCATTTTCAAACTAGTTATTGTTAATTTTCACACTTACTTATACTGTTTATTACAGTGTTAGCAACTCTTGAATCGATTTTCCATATTTGTGCCAATTTTTAAAGCAAAATGTACTCTGCGTTCTAGTGTCAGAAAATTAGTGCATGTGATTTATTAAAGTCAGTAGACTAATGTTTGCTGGTGTGTGAGTAAGCTGGAAAAAAACTAGAGGAGAGAAAAACAAAACATAAGATCAATCCAGGAACTCATTGATTGTTGAACTAACCCTTGTCGATAGGTACAGACTATGCTTTATTGAGGTCCACTCGATTATCATAACCACTAATTGAAGATGTTTGATTGTGGTGGCATGTCTCAAAACTAATCTGAACGGTTCAGATGTATTCACTCTTTATCTTTCCTTACATCTTGAGTTTCAACATTATCCTATACTTGATATTCATCAAATTAGTTTTTGCTTCAAGATCCATATTCTCTATGCCTTATGTTTTCATCCTTTACTGTCACTAATTCTGTTAGCAGTTCTACTATCCTGATGCGTTTGTCTTGATAATTTCATTATACTGTGTTGATGTACTATGAACAAGTTGAACCGATCCGAATATTTATCAGATTCTATGTTGTTTATGACCTACTAACTAATATAAATTACTTCATATTTATTAAATAATGTTTCATTTTATTTATTTTCATTTGAAAGATTACTGAACAATAATGAATAATCTATCAGAAATTAATTTACATTTATAACTAATATTTTTACACCACAATTATCCATATACAGTGCCCAAACCAAACACAGAATCAATATTCTCTAAACAGTAAATTTGACGTTAATAATAAATAATTCCAAAGAGAGAGATATATATAAAAAAAGAGGGAAACAGTTGAATAGAATGAAGCAATCAATGATACTTTCAAAAAAAAGAATAAAGAAATAAAAAGATAAAGAGAAGATTGTCTTATCTCTTCTTTCCCATTAATTTCATTCTTATTTAATATTGTCATAGTGTAGTGAAGGAGAACACAGGTGAGGACAACCAAATTGTATTTAGCACAAAATTACAGAGTTACTTTGTAAAATAGAAAACCATTATAGTAAGTCGTTAATTTGCAAAATATCATTCCATCATATCAAACCGGGCTGTTGCTGTTGCAAACATCAATCCATTGTCTCAAATTTGATTGTTCATGCGATTTATTACAAATTTCATTGTGTTCTCGCTCTTCCTTTCTTAATCTTCCCCATCTTCTGCTGCCAGACATTATGTTATTTTAACTAACGTTATATACTACTTATATCAATATAAGTAGCACGCACCACAATATAGCCCATTACCATTTACATCATGTATGTTTAAACAATAACAATAATTAATAATATTTTGATTTATATACAAACATGAAAAAAGTTTTTTTCTTTTTTCTTGAAAATAAAAATACTTCAATTCATTAATTCTATGTTGTTGTTCTGTTTTTTTCTTCTTCTTTTGTTGTTGTTTCTCTTTTACTGTCATTAAAAACCAGTCAGTAAAACAGGACAATATTGATAGTGATTACCTTGAATATTATCTAAACGATGTAATTCATATTTTGAAAATAATTACAAAGTGCTTACTGATTTACAAGCATAATCAAGGTTGATAATAATAATAATAATAATAATAATAATAACAATAATAATAATAATAATAATAATAATAATAATAATAATAATAGAAATGGAACAATAAAAATGTATTATTTAAAAACAACTGATTCGTAGAATGTTTGTTACTCAATTTGTAATAATGTAAAACATACTATGTAGATGAAATACATAATCTGAGGTAATATCATTTTCGTGTACAACATTATTATCGGAGTATATAATGTAATCAATCTTGTAATTATAGATATGTCTGTAATCAAGAATGTAACATGGACATATGTTCAATGGCATTGTCACAACTTTATGAAAGTTTTGTAATGATAAATATCGCATACAGTGCGACAATCAGAAACTAGTATTTTCTTAATACAAGGATTCCTATGTCATGTTTGAAAAAGTGTAGTTTAGTGATGAATGATTCCAACTCTATTAAAGGGTACTTATAATCATCTACAATTAGAAGCAAATGAATAAAAATAAAAATGTTATAACTGTGAAAATGGTGCTGATTAAGGGTAGCGAATTATTGATCGGACCAAAGATGCGCAAACACGTAGGACGACCTAGGGTTCTGATTGGCCCCGCTTCCCTGTCTAGCCCAGCCAGTTAAGTCCAGAACGCAAGTCTCAGCCCCGGATATATGAATCATTATAATATAAACACACTCTGTTTATATACTAATCAAGCAAACCACATCGTACCATAAAATAGAAAATAACATTGTACAATATTGACCAGTAGGAAAATGACACGTGAAATAAGCACTGACCAATAAGAGAATAATACCATCTTCAAGTCCAAGAATAGCATTAGACTTAATAGAATAATTTTTGGGATATTTTCCTGAATATCCCAACAACAAAAAACATGGAATAACAAGAAAAATTCTTGTGATAGGTCTATTGTCATTACGTTTTTGATTGTTTCATAAAATACAGATCTAGATTAAAAAAACTATCTGAACCAACCAACTGCTCTGTATATATACTTACAAGAACGAAAGGTCTGTTATAGTTAGGATGAGGTCTGGAATTAACCAGGAATAATATAACCTTGTAATAAAATCAGCATGAAGGAAATTTTGACAAGTATGCTCCATAATAACAATTTCCACCTATTTAAAGTCCCTATGATTTCACTGATGAAGTGACACGTATTCTTCAATTTAAGGACTTTTAAGTTAGTATAAGAAAAGAGGAAATTATCGACATGTCGTTCAGACGTTGGTAGGGAATTTGTTCCATGGATAAATTATAACAATTTATTCCAGATTGTCGCAAGTAAACTGGTCAGTTAATTTACACAAATATTTGTCAATGTTAGATCGAATAGCTTGACGAAAATTGTGCTCCGAGTATAGAGAAGTCATTATATGTAAAATTCACATTTGAAATATAACTCCAACGTTTCCTCCAGCAAACTTGTCTGGATTTCTTCAGGGTAATAATCAAAGAAGTATGTAGCGCTAATCCAGTCATATTTGGATCTTGACTTTAATAAGTAAGATAACATGAGTCAGTTAAAGGCGAATCATATGAAAATAAATGACCGGACAAATTGTGTGTGCATGTATGAGTAAAATTCAATTATTAATAGTTGATACTAGGTGTTAGTTTGTTTGTATATGAAGGAAAAATTAAAGTGCAAGTTGAATGTCAAAAATTGTTTTTGAATCGTCGATGTGAAAGTAAAATGCGAATTGTTAAATGCATAATTCTATTGCTAAATTGACCCACATTACTTTCAGTCAGAATAACGACGCATGTCAAATAAACAGGTTGGATAAAGAAAGGACCCAATTACTTGGTGGTTGAATATTACCCTTTCTGTTCAGGTTGTTCTTATTTGCCCACATATACAGCGCTTCTGCTGTCAATCTTTCTTTATGAGTGTTAAAACCTTTCTGAAGTTGATCTCGTGTCCTGTTTCCAACGCATGTAACGCTATTACCGACCTATTCTCAAGTTCCTTTATATCAACCAAGGATTCGAGAACATTTTTCACACACTTTTTGTGTCCCTTCGATCTTACATTAAATTGCCTTGAAGTTTCTCCCACATAATCTGCATCACATTCATGACCGTTAGTCTCATAAACAGTATTCTGTTGTTCCTCCTTCGGGAACCTATCCTAAACTTTCACTAATACCCATCTTATGATGTCACTAACCTGAAAATACACTCTTATATCATGCTTGTTTAGAATCCTTCTGATTTCTTCCAGTGTGTCACTACGGTATGGGATGACCATGGTGAACTTTCGAAATACATTCTAGTTTAGCTTTTCTTTCATTTTTAATAATCTTCTTTAGAAACGTTTGGATAGATATTATCCCCAAGTGTAGACAAACCTCTATTCAATTCAACTTGTGGTCTTCCTTATCTGTAACGAGCTTAATACTTCTGTTGATTAAGTTTTTAACAAGAGTGACTTTCGTACACAGCGCATAAGCCCAAATACAATCTAATTATCTTTCAGAATGTGTCGATTTCCTGAATGCACTTATTTTCAATTTATTATTATGTCTTCGTTCAATCAAACAATCGAGAAACGCTAGTTTGTGGTCACTGGACTCTATTTCCTGTGTTAGCTTGATGCTCTCTGAAATGCTGTTTACATCAAGCAATTCTTCCAAACCATTTCGTTTAATGATAGTAAAAATGTCCTCTACATGCCATAACCAGACTTTTGGTAGACGTGCACATCTTGTGATCGCATTGGTTTCCAGGGTATGTATGAATAAATTCACTACAATCGGAGAAACTAGTGAACCCATTGTTATACGTTCTATTTTTCTGTTCAGGTCTCCCCGAAATGTGACTAATGTGGATTGTAAACACAATTCCAAGCACTTAATAGCTTCGGATGGATCTGACGGACATCGTGAATTCAAATCTGAGTTAGATTCTAAACCATCATAAATAATATCCAATGCTCTGTTGATAGGTGCATTAATAAATAAGGAAGGTACATCAAAACTTCTCATCGTTTCATCCTCTTCTATATGGATGGTATCGATATTATCTTTGAATTTAATAGTTTTTAGTTCTGTATATGAATGTATTAGCACAGTATAGAGTTGACCTGATTTGATTGTTAAACGCTATATATTTCTTTCACTATCACCCTGAAGAAGTCCAGACAAGTTAGGTGGATGGAACGTTGGAATAACTTAAATTTCAATCGCTGAGATTACTTGAAATATATTATTTTACTTATAGTCAATTAATTGATACATTCAGAATAAGAAACTTAGTATTGAGTTACGAATAGTGTAACTCTCAAGACGCTGTGTTGTACTATCTTTCGGACCAAGCGATTATGATGAATTGAAATGCGCTAGCCCTGAACAGCTTTCATTCTCTCAGGCACCATATCATAAAATGGCCATCAATTCGCCTTTTCCAACTAATCCCAGAGCTGGCTAACAAAACACGATGTGATGGACGCTGTGGTGGTAATCGTAAAACATGTAAAAGCCACCAGAATCGATGTTCCCAGTTGTTAACGTCATATAAATTGTCATCACTATGACGCAATACACATTGTAGACCTGGATTCCTAATATGATGTCGCCAATGTATATCAGGAAAGCTTTCAAAAATAAAGATGATCGAACACAGAGAGTTGCCAAGCATCCTCAACTCGAAGAGGCTAGTTTTCACAAGCACAGAGCAAAGCTGCTCTAATCGGTTTATTGAAAACACGACCCTTTACAGCCAAACTAACATCATGATGCCATGAATGATGGACTGGATCAACATAAACTCATTTGACATTCAATAAACTAAGATTAATATAATCAGTCACACCACCACCAGTACTGACACAACCACTGAAATATCATGCGATTGGTTCCTTTTATGAATTTGAATAAAGCCGAGAAAACAATTGAAGTAGAATATTTTGAATTTATCATATTTCATGGTTTTTCATCAGCTGCTTATAACCGTATATGCATTGGGATGTAGCATTAAGGTAAATCATAATATATAAAAATTGACATTATTGACAGAAAGAATTAGAATAACACTGTCAATATCATTTTTTATGATCCCTGTCATTTTAATTCTTCCCATCACCACTGTCAGTTGTGCCACATTATATTTTACTTGAATGGTACATTTCAATACATAAATAGTTGTAACCACTTGACGAGAAGCTACTGAAATAGGCCGATTTTCTAAACTACTGCAAATAATGGGTTACAACACACGCTTCTTTCAGTCATGCTGAACCGATTTTCTAAAGCCTTATCAACGGAACTAATCCTCAATTGTTTAGCAACCAGTAATATATGTTTTTCTAGTCAGCAGGGATTGAGCAATTTTGTCATATGCCACTTAGTTAAGTAATACATCATTGGAAATTGTATTTATTGCTTAATAATTAAAACCCAAAATCAGTAATGTTTCTTGTTTAGAAAAGCTCACAGTTTATTTTAATTGAACTCTGAACACAATGGTCATGAAGATGACGGTCGTGTGGTAAATCCACATTTTTCTAATTATGTCACTCCAATTCATATGTGCACATCAATACTTCACAAACTACTTACTGTGATCAATAACAAATCTGTAAAATAACACACTCACACACAGTTGAGTATATACGACATTGCTGATTATATGTAACAAGAAAAATTCACCATCCGGTTTCGGCTAACCATACATACTAAATGTGTACAGAGATAGAAATTATTTCAGTTTGCGATATAATATGAAAATAATTAGATGTTGACCTACACATATTTGTGGATTATTCATTATTTTCACTGGCTCTTCTTTTCCAAAATGGATCGATCGATTTTCTTCTATTTCTGGTTAAAATACACCTAAATTTGATTATTGTGTCCATGATGAATGTCATGTCTGTTTGAATATTCTGTTTTGTATTCACATTGATGGTATATCAGTTGACGAATTAGTGATCATCCAACGACTACGTCGACGCGTGATGGCTAGTTGAAGAGTAAATTGGATTAAAGTTAAGTGTAAATAAACCAAGAGATAGTAC